CGTTATTTTTGGGTCGTTCGTTTCGGAAACGTCAACCGGATCAGGGTCATGGACGAGATGGGCACAGAGTGAACTATACATTTGTTCGATCTGTTCATTTCCTGCATGCAATTCCTTTCGTTCGGCCGAAAGCCTCGAAGCCTCAATTGACGAAGTGAATTTACAAACTCTCGGTTTACGGGGAAATAATCAGCTTTTGTTATCGGTTATCGGAAGATGTTACTTTGCATTTTTTATGCAATAGATAAGAAATATGTATAACGTCCGGATGGATTTACAATGTATTTGAATGAAGTGGAAAATGAAGAAATATCGGGTAATATGCAATCTAGTGATACAAGAAGTTGAAATTCTATAACAAAAAATAAGGAAAAAGTTGAATGAAAATAATCTTGTTATAAATTATATTTTAACATTCAGATGGCGGACCATGGAAAGAGTCTCAATTTTAATACTTAATTCTCTGCTGTTCAAGGGTTAAATCAGGGAGGATCTAGATCTGTTATATGAAAATTCTCCGCATTATTCTCATAAAAATCACGTATTTTACATTTTATCTTTCAAAGATTGAACGATTTTTCGCATAAATTTCTGTCACGTTCATGTTCTCCCGACACCTTCTTCCTTCTACATTATCCACGATTTCCTAAAATCGACAGAAGAGAACATCTTAAAATTCTCAGCATCGAAGCATGCAGAATCGTGTAAATACGGAAGTGATAACTTTGAAAGTCGTTCACAAAAGTGCCTTCGTTTGAAATAACATCCACTCTGATAAACAATTTAGTCAATCAAAGCACCTCAGTTTTAGTTTGAGGATAAAGATAGCATTTTGGAGCACGTGAACAGATCTGCGAGTTATTGTATATATAATTAAAAATTCCTGATAGTTTCTGATTTTCTAAATTGTTTCCTTTTCACCTATAGAAGTATGGGTGCCAAGATATTTGAAAAAATGAGATTTTTATTTTCTATTATTTTTAGGCCCTTTTGAATTTCTAAGTGTTATTCACTACAATTTTTGGTATTGCGTTATTATTATTGAATTATTGAAATCATCGACCAGTGGTTAAACCATTTATTCTGTTTCTGCCATTTTCAATAATACCATTTCGCTGTAGAGTAAATTCATTAACAGTTCTCGTTAAACCGCAATCAAAGGTCCTTTCCATTCAAACGACAATAATGTGAAGTAGTTTAAGAATAAAAATAATAAAAATAAATTTAGATGCAAATTGTCAAAAGTTTCAATATTTACTTTATTCTGAGAAAAGAAAATAAAGCCATGAAATTTATAATGAAATAAAGTTACTACCTCTACGATCAAATTAAATTTAATAAAATGATGAATGAAATTCTTTATCAATAGTGTATCCCAGAATAATTTAAGGAATAAATAAATACAGTGGCAAGTAATTTATAAATATAGTAGCAGCAGATTTAGCATAAGAATAGATGAAATAACGAGTGAATAAATTCGTTTACTGGGTGTACAATAACTTTGAGATGGCAATCATGAATAAAAAGGAGTCGAATTATACTTTTAAAAAGAAGAAAATTAAACTAACATTCAAACAATCATTATTTTTCTTCTAGAATAATCAGCTATATTGCAAATTTGAAAAGTTCATAAGTAGAAAAACTGAAACAATAAAGGATTATCTTTTCAGTGGATTAGTTTCCGTCTAGACGGCTGCAATTTAACTTTTATAGCAAAAAAGGGTATATTAAGTTTTCAAAGAGATTCAGATATCGATAAACTAAAAATTTTTCAATTTTGTATTAATTATTTGTTTATTTCTTTACGTTTCTGAACTAAAAGGAACTTAACTTGCTGAAACATGAATCACTGCTCACCAACGATTAAAAGGAGGTCTCAGAACGTCAAAAGAATAATTGAAAATCGAAGTGGCAGTAATTTGGAAACAAGGTCAGGTACAAAAAGCGTTTATAGGAATTTCTTCTATTATTTATGTAAGTTAAATCTACCGTTAAAGTATCCAAGTATATATTATGGTACACCTACATTCAGAGGTCGATGGAGAGCTTACACCAGTTATTCCACTGAGGCAGCTCGTGATTTGGAATTTCCCTCAGTGTCCTTTGAACAGGTAAAAACAATGTCCAGGTTAACAGGAAGTATTCCACTTGAAATACATTGTCCTCGATACGAGGCAACTTGAATTAAATGATCTCGAGTGTGAAATTCTGTTACATTCAATACACTCCTTTGAATCTGTATTCTATCGGTTATCGTTCTGTTGTTTACACTTCAATAAGAAGCTACGGAATAGATTTCAGAATATACAGGATGAGAAATGAAGTAAAGTGTCAAAGAAGAAATTTTGTAAATTGTTTGCAAAAATGAAAATACGTAATACAACAGTTGTATTTTTGTAAAATTTGAATAAATATTTTTATAAAATTCTTTGAGAGATCATTTTCTATTTTTTCATCGTAATTTTTTACCAATCTCTTCCATTTTAATCCACTTTGGTAATATTTCAATCGCACGTGCACAATGTACAAAACATTTGTAGTGATTGGAGGTAAGATTTGGGGCTTGGTCCGTGAGAAATTGGCCACTCACTCTTTCAAGAAACTGGCACATGACGAAGATGAAAGACAGTATTCCTTTATACGGGAATGCATTATCCTTTGGGATCCACGATTTCGAACAGATATCCTGAAATCTTTGCTTCTCAACATTTACCAATTCAAATTACGATGTCAGTTTTTGTTGACGTGACTAATATCTGGATGGTATACACGTTCGCGGATGCAGAAATGATTTACCCCTGGTATTAATTATTCACTCGCGCTACGAATTCAATTTAGTCAAATAAGTGTAAAATGAAGAAAGAAAAATAATGTTGTATACTGATGAAATTATACTAGTAATTTAAAATAAAATCTTCAAATTTAATAATGCTATTATTTAAAAATATAAATCGTTCGGTTTTTAATACTACAAGAGTATTATTTATTTTATTTTTAATCAAATAAAATGATTGAAAATGTGTTTTTTTTACAGAATTCAATTCTGCAATATCGACTTACAAAAAGAAAAGAAAAAAATTGAACTGCTAAAATAAAATAAAGTAAACGGATTTTTAATTAAAAGAAAGTATATAGGTTCACAGGAATATACACAAGGAAAGTTTTCATAAGGTTATTGTACGATATCACAAATATTTTTCTTTATGATATACATTATTTCAGATTATCGTGCAGGTGTACAATGTATTTCAGATGGAAATATTTTTTCTACCGCAACTGAACAAACGTTATCGTTAGCAAGCATAATAAGCTTCAAAACTTGACTTGCAATCGATTCGCAATCTTTCAAAGTAACTTTACCACGCATTCCCTGTGCTTAGGCAAGCCTCCACGACAAGCTTCAGTTTATATGATAATTTAGAGGGTCCTTGTGATTTCCACCGATTTTTCAGGATACCAAGGGTTCACACTTCTTTTATTTTTGATAAAAGACAATGGCAATGAAATCACGTGAAAATTTAATTTCGTTGGTTTCCCCAGGGGAATTTTGGTCAATCGAAGAATTGATTGAATTTCAGTAATTCTTTCTTTCTTTTTTATACAAGGGTGTCTATAAAACTTACTAACCATAATATATCTATGTTATTTATGATGATAATAAATATTTCAAAAATAGTTGTTTCCTTATTGTTAGTGAACAATAAGATCATGCTGAATCTTTTTTTGGCTAAAAGGAAGTGTAGGTGGAGGATTTACCAACCATTTGCTTTCTGTCTTTGAAGACCTCAGGGGACCTAGGGAGAGCCTAACACAATCTTCTCAACTTAACACATAAAAATCATGGATAAATAATGCGTGTAATGGGATACTTCTCCCCTACACTTTATTTTACTTCATATATAAGTGATCCTGAAATTTCCATAAGAATTTATCATTCATTCTATTAGAATAACAAGTTTGCAAAAGTAATATTATTTCTACTATTGTAATCTTTTTGGCTTAGCTTATTTTTGAAAGCTGAATAAATTAGCTACCCTTTCATATTTTGTTTGTAGCTTCCTGAGAAAGTATTGTAGGATACCTAAAACAATATCTGTACATACTTATTCTACGTATCACGTGAAAAACTAGAAATGAAAAGATCTTCTTGGAAATCCCTAACATATTCCAGTCTAAGATTTTATTATGAAACGATCCCCGAGAGCTGGAACTTTGTTATCTAGTTAACTGGAAAATCACAGCACGTAGAATATTTACGCTTTTCATTATTTTATTTTTATACGATCTCATTTCTCCGATAACATTTTCTTTCACAGGATACACATAACATTGTACTTTATGTCATTATACTTGGATGTCTAGTGTTAGTATATGTATACAGAGTGGGCCAAAAATTGTGGAAAAGAAGTAAGAAAAAAATTTGCATAAAATATGATCTGTTTTTTAAATGAAGCTTTGGAAGAAAAGAAATTTTATATCAAAATTTTTTTCTAATTTTTTTTTCTAGAGTGATATCCTTTTCGATTATATGTTTTTAAAAAAAGAAACATTACTTCACGTAAATAAATTGTATATTTAATCTTTTGAAAATGAAGCCCTTCTAAGTTAGATACAGCATACATAGAGAATATTATTAATTTAAAATAAAATAAGTGATAATTCCATTCCCCATGTGATAAACCCCTATTATTTATATGTATATATGTCAAAAACCTGTATGAAATTATAAGTTATGAGAGGGTTAACAGTTGCAACTAAGCTTATGCATTTGAATAAATAATAAACATACCACAGTTGTGTCTAAATTTTTCTGTATTACATTGCAATTTCGATTAAACATGCAATCATTTAAATTGCAACACAAATAACAAACCAATCGATTATAGAAATTTATATTGCTAAAACAAATTTTAATAATTCTACTTTTACATACATAAAACAATTCTTACTTTATAGATTTCATTAAAATTTATCCAGCTTAATTGGCAAAATAAAACATATCAATTCCATGAATGACCATCGCTTTTCTTGGATTCTGTCACTGACAATGATTTGCTCGAGCTCAAACCAATTCCCGAGTTCTTCGTTTCTCTCAGACTGCTTCCCACTGACTTGCCACGTGTCTTGTCCAAGCCACCTAGGCCTTTTGAACCGCCGCCCAAGCCACCTAGGCCTTTTGAATCACCGCCCCAGCCACCTAGGCTTCCTACAGCACCGTCCAAGCCGCCTAGGCCTTTTGAACCATCGCTCCAGCCACCTAGGCCTTTTGAATCACCGCCCCAGCCACCTAGGCTTCCTACAGCACCGTCCAAGCCGCCTAGGCCTTTTGAACCATCGCTCCAGCCACCTAGGCCTTTTGAATCACCACCCCAGCCACCTAGGCTTCCTACAGCACCGTCCAAGCCGCCTAGGCCTTTTGAACCATCGCTCCAGCCACCTAGGCCTTTTGAATCACCTCCCCAGCCACCTAGGCTTCCTACAGCACCGTCCAAGCCGCCTAGGCCTTTTGAACCACTGCTCAAGCCACCTAAGCCTTTTGAACCACTGCTCAAGCCACCTAGGCCTTTTGAATCACCGCCCCAGCCACCTAGACTTCCTACAGCACCGCCCCAGCCACCTAGGCCTTTTGAACCGCCGCCCAAGCCACCTAGGCCTTTTGAATCACCGCCCCAGCCACCTAGGCTTCCTACAGCGTCGTCCAAGCCACCTAGGCCCTTTGAATCACTGCCCCAGCCACCTAGGCTTCCTACAGCGCCGTCCAAACCATCTAGGCCTCCTACATTGCCGTTCCCAATGTTATCCCAGCCTGATCCTTTCGTTCCACCAATCTCCCCAATGCTGCCGCCATCTTCCTCACAGGAAATGTCCCGTTGTTTGCCATCATCTAGGCGCGAACCGCCCTTCTGCCAACCGTCTGATATTGATGATTTCTCGTTTTTTAAGCTTGCTGCAACTAATTGACAGCACGCGACGGCTACAAGGATGAATACTACTGCGTTCTTCATGGTTGTCGGTTTCTTAGTTATTCGAACTGATGCAGCCTGATGCAAAGACCGTCGCTTTTATACGCGGATCGAAGGTACAGGATGTCTGTGACCACGAGTGTTCTTTTGTTCTCTCATGTTATTATTTCCACTTGTTTTTTTTACGATACGATGGTGATGTTGATCCAAACTGACGTTTGGTACCAATGAAAGACTTGTACATACACATTGTTTTTATTATAAGTTAAGTGAACAGCTTTTATTAAAATTAATTGTATGAAATTTTCAATTTGTATTGTAATCAGAGAGGAAGGAAATTAGTTTTTCAATTAGTTATCGCGACTTTTAATGCTTAATTAATTTTTAGAATTTTCCAGAATTTAAACAATAAAATTTACTTAAAATTTAATAATTGAAGCTTTTGTAAAATGGACAATGGATAGTTTAATTTATTTAAACTGTTCACTATTCACATAATGAAATTTTATTTCATGTATATTTATCTAATATTATAGTTTTTTTATTCAGTTTGTTAATGATTTTTTTTTCTTTTTTTTAATTATATCATACATTGCAAATTAAAACGATACAACGCGATGAGTAATTATGTCTAATCTTCAATAATATAATGAAGATGTTAATCACCTGAAATTTCTAAATACAATATTTTAGGGTTCTCTTTTGTTACTTTTCGTTGATATCAATATCACAATATTTTAGTGCCAATATTCTTTTTTCGTTTCATTATTTGTACACGATGTACAGAAGTTGATGTTATCCATATCTGTTTCAATTGCTTCGTTATTTCTGTTATTTTAAAAAAATGATAATTAAAACTTTGGCATTAAGTATGTTTATATTTGCAACTCATAACAAGACCCTTAAATTGCATTTAAATGAATAAAGACATATATAATGAACTGCAAACACAACTGTAAAAATCAGTTGATATGATTTTATCAATAACAAATATAATGCATCATTTATGTGTTCAAGTGTGAGAGATCAATAAGAAAGTAATTGAATTCTAAGAAATGTTAAAAAAATAAAAATTAGCAAGGAATTGTATTAAGAAATTATATATAGATACATTTCATTTAAGGATAAACTAATTGAAAGTTTTTAAATTCAATTTATTTATTTTTTTATGATAATTTGATTCAGTTGCAGAATAATCACGGAATAAAAAATTATGGGATTCAATTTAGAAAGGAGAGCTAACTTTGAAACCTCAATTGAACGATCTGAAGAAATCTCTTACTTATTGTTAGTATACAGAGTTTAATGGTATTAAACATTTGTATCTTCAATTGTTTGCGAATCGTATTTTCGATAAAATGCTTATCAATTTTTCACGGTTAACCATCATATTGACGTACGCGGCTGTGTGTGTGACACCTGTTATTCATATCACTCGTTTAAAAACCTAACACGTACATAAAGCAAAACAAATGTTCGACTAAATTACATTCTGTAATTATCTGTCCTTGTGCCCATCTGGGTTTGTATTTGTATCGATATTATTATATAATTATAATTAATTAAATGCTACAGCAAAAATTTTTTATTATAATTCTAAAAAAAGAATTAAATACAATTTTCAAGTTATTGTTCTGAAAATTGGTAACAGAAGAAATAGATGGATAATTGAGAGTATTAAAAACATAATTATATGTATATGTAGTGACAAGTAATTGTAAATTTTTCTCATAAAATATGAAAAAACTGAAATAGAGTGCATCGTGTTAACCCTCGAAAGGCGAACTATTCAGACAGAAACAGTTTGAATTTAATATTATACCCCACAGCAGGTTTGGGCAACATCCTCCCTGCTGTTCTGTTAGACTACCGCTGTCCTGATCTATCAGTTACCCTACTACTAACTCCTCACTCTGCAGCTGCGCCGCGCATGTGCATGACGGGGGTCGCCGAGGAGTGGGGACAAAAGCCGCATGCGCCGTGCGCGCCTTGAGTCACCCAGGCCTACTATACAGTATATCTATTCTAAAAACTGTACACTATTTCTTTCCCAATGTATGAAACCTATTCATTAAAAAATTAAAAAATTAAGAAGTTAATCAAATTTCTTTGTATATATTTCGTAGATTTAGTTCGAGGGTTATTCTGTATTTATGATCAATTTCTTTTATATCCTCAACCGGCAATTGTGCCATCAAGGGCGGCCTCAACATGGCAACAACAATTTGTTGGCAATTTAAATGACTGAGGAACAGGCCGATTACTTTTGTCCACTGCTATAAGTACACGAGTTACGTAAGTTTGTTTACAGGAAGTAACATAACCGTAGGGGACGCTGGTATTGTCTAAACTGCATGCTTTTCCGTGTTCTCTGTAAAATTTGTTATATATAACAGACAACTAATAGTATTTTTCATGAAACATTAAACTACTTACACGCAAGTTTCTGTCCATACTCCCTGCGTAAAATTAGAGGTATTCACGATGTACATCCATTCACCTGTTGTCGATTTCCCTTTCTTTGGATAATTGGGTTTCGACTAAATAGCATGCAACAAATTTAAAAGAAAAGTGACAATATTTTTGATAAAAATATTTACGTTGAAGCAAACTTACGATAGACGGACATAGTTGTATTGTTTGAGGATCGCTTGACTTTCCACGAATAAACTCGGACTGCAAGGGAAAAATTCATTTATAATTATGTAAAAGAAAAAATAATGAAACCTACTTCTTCAGTTGCAATAATAAAAAATATCTAAATATCTAAAGAAATACATACTATAAAATTTAGAAAATGAGATTAAGCTGCTCCTCTACATAGGTGTTCAGTTATCAAAAATATGTAAATGAAGTACTAACTGTGTCATCGATTTGGTAACTTTGAAGTTCTTGATGATTTTCGATTATTCTGTTCACGACATCCGTGGGATAATCCGTATCGTCTTCGCAAAACGTTTCCCCACGGCAAGGGGATATTGTTCCAAAGCGATTTTTAGGTGCTTGTACATATTGATCCGGGAAGATAATATTGTCGTTCTGCATCGCGTCATTTTCTGAACAAACAATCATATAACAACTATATAATAATAAAAAGAACATGTTATTAGAATAGAAAATAGGTAACCATTTTTCTTTGTATTACTGCCAGGATACTGTGTTGTTCTGCTTGAATATTTTCGATTGAACCAATTTAACCGGTCCCTCGGGTTATCATTGCTGTCAACAATCGAAAATTGATCATCGGGACTTTCGTAGTTACCATTGGTTGGAAGAGGACGCTGATACCATTGTTGAAAGGAAACGTCGACATTAAGGAGAACCTTGAAAAAGAAGCAATAGACATTTTAATTTCAGAGATTTGGATGGAATTTTCTGAAGCAGCATCTGATGCTTGGTGCAAGAAGGTTAAACTTCCCAGTAATCAATGACTAACTGTAGCTTTGAGAACTTTAGCTAGATAAAGATAGATTAATAAACAATTACAGTACAGGGTGGACATAATTTCAATAATGAATTCAGCAAATCTAGAGAATTGACAGATAAATAATATCTGATTAATTTTCAAAAAATTGATTAATAATATCAGAAAAAATGATACAAGATTCTAAATTAAAATTTATGGAAATAGGAAAATTTTTAATTAAGTAATATAGAAATAAATACTCATAGTAATATTTTAAACTGAATAATATAGAAATGATACGAAATTGAAAAATTAATTAAATTCAAACTCTGTATCTAATAATTATAAACAACATTTTTTAATTCTAACAAAAGAAACTTCCTAAACTTACCAATATCACAGTTGCAATCTTAATTACAGGTGACACATGTATTTCGGTCCTCATGTTCTTTTATTATAAGAATATGTAGCTTCCTTTTTTATAATTTTATTTGATAAAACGTTTATAGTATTAAATGAACCTCAATTAAAAATCCTTCTAAGAAAATATTTTCTACTTCAGTCAAGTAAAGAAGAAAAGCGATCGTTGTTGGCTACCAAACTAATAGCGTAGACAACTTGTTCACGACTGATTTGATGTTTTTTTCGTGACCAACGATATCCCTTCTGTCATTATCAACATCCGTTTCATTATTTTGGTTTTTGATATTAAAATCCACTTCCTATTCGTTATCAAAAAAGTAAAGAATTTTTTAAAACATTAAAAAAAAATGACAAATAATTATAGATAATTATTAAATTAATAGATAAGTATATCTTTGCCTTATTAACGTTATTTAAATACCCGAAAAAGAAAGAAAATATTAGTCTTTCCTATAGAAGTGATTTATATTACTGGTTCATTTCTCTATGTACATTATTTAATGAAATTCTTCTCTGTTTCTACTGCAAACGAATAACGGTTTAATTAAAAATAAACCATTTTTCAGGAAGATAAACTGTGTTATCAGACGGAGAAGTATTTAGAGACCACTTTGGATTTCCTGTTAAAGAGCTGCCTCGGTCACGACAGTTACCACAAAAGAATTAGTCAAACAGATTAAAAGAAACGATAACACTCTAAGCTGAACAATTTCTACCTTATAAAATTTAAATTAATTTTCTAATTGAATTTATTAATTTATTATATATGTACATATGTACAATTTTTACAATGTCGTCTATCACTACTGTTTCATTTATTTCATATTTTTCAAACCTGCATAAAAGAACCTGATATAAAAATATATTAATATTTGCTTTTTTACAGTTGAATGGTTTACTATAAAATTTGGATATATTATCTATTACTCAAATATTCGTTAGTATCTGGAACGTATTTCTTCAAAGATGATTCAAAATCATCTTCAGATATTTTATCACTGTAATCTCTTTGAGAATCTTCAATTGTGTCTTTATCTTTGTTCAAAAGAACATAATAGCAAGTTGTTCGCTTGAGTCGTTTATCTTTATTGCTTTTACCAAAATTTTCATCATCCAGGTATTCTGATTTCTCTACTTCAGGAAATTCCAAAGTCCATGTTTCAGTACCGCCTATGTGATACGCAGTCAGCGGTTCAGTTGGCCATTGGGGACCAGGTGTTTTTCTAATTTTACCTGCAATTAAAATTAAACCTTAGTATATTAAATAAACCAAGTAATTAAAAACCCATGTGTTACCATCAGTGCCTTCTGAATCTTCATTTTCATCGTCATCTTCAAGATCTCTTCTTGGACCTTGATTTTCATTTTCAAAAATGGAAGTATCTGACAAATTTTCGTCCTCTGGAGTTGACTCAATTTTGTCATCCTCAGAATTGTCATCCACAGATAAATCATCTTGACTCGATCTGACTTTTCTCATAAAATGAGTGTTTCTATTTTTATCATACTTTTTGTTGGGATCTTTATTTTTAGCAAATGATTTCCAAAAAAATTCATTGGCTGGTAAAGTATGATATATTGAAATTGTACTCTCTGTTGGCCTCTGCAAAACGTTTTCTTCATGGTCTGTTTCATAATTATTTTTAATAATCATCTCATCATCGTCATCAATCTCCAAAACTGATCTCTTCATGTACTTCTTATCATATTGCCAATGATCCTTATTACTTCCTAACGCTTTGGTGACCATAAATTTATCATCTCTAAATTCATAATTAGAATTTTCATACATTGGAATGACCTCGTTAATTCGTGTCACTATTCTCTTCTCTTCAGGAACAACCTGCTGAAAATTCCCTCGATCATCAAACAAACGTGCACGAAACTCAGGATCAATATTCCCTTCCTGATAAATGTTGTTTCGTTTATACCGATCCTCTGGGGACTCAGTTTGCAATCCTTCATGGTTGCTGTCTTTCACAAAGTCTCCTTCTGTCCATTCGTGTTGTTTAAGGTTTAAGCTATTTATCTTCATTTTCTCATTCGCCAAGCCTTTTCTACCTTCACTACGGACAAATGGTAAACATACTCTTTCAGTCACCACATTCCCGTTGTACCTTCCCAGTGTTTTATTCTTCAAGACGTTTAGGCAAATTTTCGTGGTATCTTTTTCTTTCATGGGTGGATTTTGTTCGTCGTAATCCTTTTCTTCTTCTTCTTCCTCGTGCAACGTTTGAGGAATAACCCTCCTGTCAGTAGTATCTTCACCAATTTCTCCCATCTTCGTGGTTTCTCTGATTTCAATGGTTGTCCTCTCTGTGGGTGGCAGTTGGGTCAGGGACGGTGTTGTGTGCGTTGTTCCACTCTCCGTTTTCATTTTCTCTTCAAGATCTCCCGCAGACAATTCCTGTTCCATTTTCTCCATCTTCTGTTCAAATTCTTCCTTCTCTCTTTGGAGTCTATGTTTCCTCTCCAGCAAGTGATCCTCCCTTTCCTTCAAGTCCTTCTGTTTTTCTTCAACTTGTTTTTCTAGTCTTCTTACCTCTTTCTCGACAACGTCTTCAGTTGTACTTACGAATGTTACCGGTTTAACAGGAGCAGAAGTGGTAGGTTTCAGAGGAATCGTTGTACCATGTATAGGGATTGAAGCTGGTTGTTTAGTAGCACCATGTGGCTCCGATGAGGATGTTTTCATTTTCTTCTTTCGCTCGATCATTTCGTTTATTCGTCTCACTTTCTCTTGTTGCCATTTCTCTTCTTCTTTTTGTAAATCTTCCTCCTCCTCGAGGATCTCCTCCTGTGTTGTTTCCAGGTCTTCAAGTTTTTCCAGCAATTCTATCTTCAGCTCTCGATGACGTGTTCTCTTCTGGAATTCGTTTGTTGTACCACCTGATGTAAGAGTAACTAGTACAGTTGGAATAGTTGTTAGTATAATCCCCTCCAGGGTGTGTCTTTCTTCTTCATGAATCATTGTTTCTATCGGTGTTGCTAGATAAGTTGTTAATGTAACTTCGGTAGTACTAAGCATTGTAATATTGCTTTCAAGATGGTAACTTTCAGTTTCTTCTAGATAGTCCTGTGGCAAAGATTCGGTGGTAAATTCGGGAGTTGATGGCAGAGTGTACACGGAGGTTGTAATGTTGGAAAGTTCCACTTCAGTCGTGTCGGTTTCATTAAATTCTGTAACTGTGGAAGTTGTTTCAGGACGAAGGGACCATGTAGTTTCTTCAGTAACAAACGGCTTCTCCAATGTTGTTTCTATTTCCGTTGACAGGGTCGAGGCTGTCGTCAAAATTGAAATAGCTGATTCAGTAAATGTTACAAGAGTTGTTTCTTTCCCTGTAATTGTAACTTCTACGTGGATAATACTTTCAGTTGTAGACGTGAAATTTTCTTCTATGTAGTCATGCCAAATTGGACTGACTATTTCTGTACTTTCTTCTTCTTCGTATTCTTCTTCTTCTTCGTCGTATGTTTCGTTATATTCTTTTCCATATTCGGTATCGTATATTGTTTCTGTTTCACCATACTGCTCTTCAGTACTTGTAACTTCTTCACTTATGGTGATTACTTCAGGAGAAGTAAGAGATGCAATTGTTGTAACTTCAGGAAGGATAGAAATTGGTGTTGTTTCTGCTGCAAATGTCTCAATTGATGTAATATACGATGTGATTGGTTCTCTAGTTTCTGTAAGTTTTGTATGAAAACTGGTGCTTTCAGTTGTAACAGTAACACTTGGCAATTCAGTGGTTGTATATTTAGTTGTTTCAGTAACTATTGGAATCCGTTCAGTAGTTACATTGATAGATTCTGTTGTAAATTCTGATATTTCTTCAGTAATATTTGCAATTATAAAGGGTACTGTAGTGATATTAACTTCCCAGAACGCTGTTATTGGTGTTGTTGTTTCAGGGGTTTCTAAAACTACAGATAACTCACTGGATATGGTACCAAACATGGTAGTCAATTCTGTTGTAAATAATGAACTCTCCTTGAAAATAGTAACACCTTCTGTTGTAGTTGGGTATTCCGTTTCAATCGACAGTGTTGTTAATGTTGTTCCAGTGGTTCCTGTCTCTTCATAATCATAAAACGATGGATGTTCTTCAGTGGTAATTTCTTCTTCGTATTCTTCATATTCTTCTGTCTCTAACTCGGTATCATGAACTATTTCGGTCATTTCAGTTGTCTCGACAGTTGATATCTCTGCAGCTGACGTGCTTGTTTCAAACAATTTTGTTGTTGTCACCTCAGGGGATGTTATAGACGATGTGACATACACAAACGGTGTGGTTCCAAAAGTACTGAGGCTGGTAAATTCTGTGGTCAAATTAACTAAAGGAAATGTTGTTATAGAAATTGTTGATGGCAGTTCTGTTGCAGAAGTTACAGTTTCGTTCATGAATGTAACAACAGAAATTGTGGTAACTTTTTCAGGTACAGGGATAGTGATTAATACTATCTCTAAAGATGTACGTGTTGTTTCAGTTGTTTCAGTGGTAATATAAGTAGGTAAGGTTTCTGCAGTTATATTCATTAGCTCCATTGTAGGTACTGTTGTTTCGAATTCGGTAGATTCTTTTGTGATTTCTATTGTTGGTAACGGTAGAGTAATGTTTTCTGCTGTAGGCAGAGTTGTTTCAGTTGTTTCTATGGTTAGATTAGTAAAAATAAACTCCGTAGTTGTAGTTATAAATTCAGGCATAGATTTTGTTGCTTGAGTTGTAACTGATGGAGATTCTGTAGTTGTTTCCGAGAGCTCGGTAGTCTGGAATGATGAAGTGACTGTTTCGGAAGACAACGTTGTTGCTGTTGTTTCAATGGGTGTTGATTCTGATGTTTCAGCAGCAGTAAATAAAGATTCTGTTGCTATTTCTGTACTTTTTGTGGTTATTGATAGTAAACTAATTTCTTCTTCGATAGACATCGTTGTTTCCGTTGTTTCAGTCGTGGGACTAGTAGATAAACTCTCTGTGCTTTCACTTGTAAACTCAGTTGTAAATGCTGCTGTTTCAATGCCGACAGATGAAGATTCTGTTGTTACTTCTGTGAGCTCCGTTACTGGTAACGGTGAACTAACCGAAGTTCTGAGAGGCACAGTTGTTTCAGTGGTTGCATTAGCTGGTACAGATTCTGTTGTTACAGATTCAGTTGTAGATTCGGTTGTTTCAGTAAGCACTGTAGTTAATTCTGTGGTTTCCGTAATTAACATCGGTGAAGTAACAGCTTCGACAAATGTAGTTGGTTCAGTGGTTTCGAACGTTTCACTGGTTGGCAAAGATTCTGTAGTTATAGTTTCAGTTGTTATTTCTATTATTTCTGTAGTAGCTGTCTCAGAAATAATCTCAACTGCAACAGATGCAGTTGTTTCAGTGGTTACACTAGTTGGTAAAGATTCTGTTGTTACAGATTCAGTTGTAGATTCGGTTGTTTCAGGAAGCACTGTAGTTAATTCTGTGGTTTCCGTACCTAACATCGGTGAAGTAACAGCTTCGACAAATGTAGTTGGTTCAGTGGTTTCGAACGTTTCACTGGTTAGCAAAGATTCTGTAGTTATAGTTTCATTTGTTATTTCTACTATTTCTGTAGTAGCTGTCTCAGAAATAATCTCAACTGCAACAGATGCAGTTGTTTCAGTGGTTACACTAGTTGGTAAAGATTCTGTTGTTACAGATTCAGTTGTAGATTCGGTTGTTTCAGTAAGCACTGTAGTTAATTCTGTGGTTTCCGTAACTAACATCGGTGAAGTAACAGCTTCGACAAATGTAGTTGGTTCAGTGGTTTCGAACGTTTCACTGGTTGGCAAAGATTCTGTAGTTATAGTTTCAGTTGTTATTTCTATTATTTCTGTAGTAGCTGTCTCAGAAATAATCTCAACTGCAACAGATGTAGTTGTTTCAGTGGTTACACTAGTTGGTAAAGATTCTGTTGTTACAGATTCAGTTGTAGATTCTGTTGTTTCGGTAAGTACTGGAGTTATTTCTGTGATTTCCGTAATAGGTATCTCAGAAGTAACCTCGACTTCGACGGATACAGTTGTTTCAGTGGTCGCATTAGTTGGTAAAGATTCTGTTGTTACAGATTCAGTTGTAGATGCGGTTGTTTCAATACGTTCTGAAGTTATTTTTGTAATTTCCGTAGTAGGTGTCTCAGAAATAATCTCAACTGCAACGGATGCAGTTGTTTCACTGGTTACACTAGTTGGTAAAGATCCAATTGTAGATTCTGTTGTTTCGGTAAGTACTGAAGTTATTTCTGTCATTTCCGTAGTAGGTGTTTCAGAAGTAACCTTGACTTCGACGGATACAGTTGTTTCAGTGGTTACATTACCTGGTAAAAATTCTGTTGTTACAGATTCAGTTGTAGATTCTGTTATTTCGGTAAGTACTGAAGTTATTCCTGTGATTTCCGTAGTAGGTGTCTCAGAAATAACCTCGACTTCGACGGATACAGTTGTTTCAGTGGTCGCATTAATTGATAAAGATTCTGTTGTTACAGATTCAGTTGTAGATGCGGTTGTTTCAATACGTTCTGAAGTTATTTTTGTAATTTCCGTAGTAGGTGTCTCAGAAATAATCTCAACTGCAACGGATGCAGTTGTTTCACTGGTTACACTAGTTGGTAAAGATCCAGTTGTAGATTCTGTTATTTCGGTAAGTACTGAAGTTATTCCTGTGATTTCCGTAGTAGGTGTCTCAGACGTAACCTCGACTTCGACGGATGCAGTTGCTTCAGTGGTTACACTAGTTGGTAAAAATTCTGTTGTTACAGATTCAGTTGTAGATTCGGTTGTTTCAGTAAGCACTGTAGTTAATTCTGTGGTTTCTGTAACTAACATCGGTGAAGTAACGTTAGCTTCGACAAATGTAGTTGGTTCAGTGGTTTCGAACGTTTCACTGGTTGGCAAAGATTCTGTAGTTATAGTTTCAGTTGTTATTTCTATTATTTCTGTAGTTAGTAACGGATAAGAAACACTAGCTGTTAAAGATGCAGTTATTTCAGTTGTTTCAGTAGTTAGGACACTTGGTAAGGACTCTGTAGTTGTAGTTGTTAGCTCGGTTGTAGATTCTGTAGTTTCTTCTGTAATTTTCGTAACTGGTATAGACAAAGTAACTACAGTCTCGAGAGATGTAACTGTTTCAGTCGTTTCAGTTAGAGTAGCTAGCCAAGGTTCCGTAGTTATAGATTCAGTTGTAGATTCGGTTGCTTCAGTAACAATCGATGGGGACGTTGCTTCTGTTATTCCTGTAGTTAGTAACGATGAAGCAACCTCAACTTTCATAGATAGAGTTGTTTCGGTAGTTATATTAATTGATATAGATTCCGTAGTTGCAAATTCTGTTGTAGGTTCTGTTGTTTCAGTACTAACGAATGGTGATTCGGATGTTATTTCTCTGATTTCTGTAGTTGGCATGGATGAAATAACAGCAGTCGTATATTTTACACTCGTCAAGGTTGTTCTTTTGGTACCTGATTTTGTAGTCTTTGTAATTTTCTTAGGTAAAGTGGACCTTGTAGTTCTTTCTGGTATGAATTTAGTAGTAGTTGTTTCTTCTTCATAGTCATACCATGTTGGATATTCTGTAGTAGTTACTTCTTCTTCATATTCTTCTTCATGTTCCTTTTCTAATTCTATATCATGAAACGTTTCTGTCATTTCAAGATATTCTGTTATTTCTTCTTTGAAAGGTGTAGTTGTTTTTAATGTTGATATCCTCACCTGTGGTTAGAGAACTTCTCTTAAATAAATATTGTCTACATCCATATATGTTTATAAATATCTTACGATGATATCATTTTATCAATTATATGCAAAATTATAAAATACAATCGATGGAACTATCTATATACTTACTGTTTTAGGTGTGGCCCGCCATGTAGTCATTTTTAAAGTTGTAAAGGTTGTCAGCGGTACAAAGAAAGTAGTAGTGGTTGGTAATAAATGAATGCTAGTAGTAGTAGTAGTAAATGGTTCTGTTGTAAGTTCTAATGCTTCTGTTGATGGTGTTGATGTACTTGAAGTAAATTCCGTTGTAGTCATAACTACAAACAGCAATTGAATACACATTAGCAAGTACTATTAAACGATTACCAATCCCAAATATAAAAATTTAATAATCAGTATACCAGTCGTTGTTTTTAGAGGAGTGACCAAAACTTCACTGGCTGTTGTTACCAACACGGTTGATGAGATGGTGGTAGGTACACTTTCAATGAGAGTTTCAGAAGAAGTTCCAGTGAACTCTGTGAATAATGCAACCATTGGTGTTGTTAATATTATACTTGGAGAAACTGTAGACGTGACAATAGGTGGAACAATAAATTTCGTCGTAGTCTCCTCAGTTGTGGCTGTAATAATCGTGATAGTTGTACTTTCTTCAGAAGTGGATGAAGGTTCTGTTGCTGTAGTTGCAAGAGACATTGCCCAATCTGTCGTAACAATTTCGGTTGAAGTAGTTATTGCTACGGTAGTAGATACTAATTCTTCAGCAGTGGTAGTAGTTACTGTTGTCGGAGATACTACAGATGGTGTGGTGGGCAGAATAGGAGATTCTGTAGTAATTTCTTCTATTATGGTTGTCATAATCATGGCTGTTGTCATTTCTGCGATAGTAGCTACTGAGATTGAAGTTGGAACTTCTACAGGTGTGATAGTAATAGGCATCGTAGATTCTGACGTGATTAATTCAGTTAAGGAGGGTAAGGCTAGGCTTGTTGCTTCTTCAGTAGGGATCACTGGTAGAGTTGTTGGAGATACAGTCGCTATAGTAGTAGGTGGCATCGTACTTGTTGCTGGCACTGTGGATGTACTTTCTGTGAATGTTATGGAAATTTCCGCGGATTCCGTAGTTACCACTTCAGTTGTTGCTGCTACAGTAGTCGTAATTTCCAGAGTAGTAATTGATGCTACTCCTGACGAAGTTATTGTAGAAGGGGTAGTGGGTGATATAGTAGACTCGGTAGTTGACTCTTTTACCATGGTGGTAGAAATTGTGCTGATTGTACTCTCTTCAGTAGCGATTACTGGTACTATGATTGGAGTTTCTGTGGATGTAGTACTCTCCGTGAACTCTGTTGATATAACTTCAGTTGTCGTTGGTGTTATGGTACTGGCAGTTTCAGTAGCAGTAGTAGCTACTACTGTAGTCGGAGCTGCGGTGATGGTGGTAGAGGGTGGAATAATAGCTTCTGTAGTTGTTTCCTCTACTGTAGTCGTAGTAATTATGGCTGATGTACTCTCCTCAGTAGTAGTAGCTGGTATCGTGGATTGAGATTCTGTAGATTTTATCGTTATCATTTCAGTCGTCGTTGGTGCTATGGTACTGGTAGTTTCAGTAGCAGTAGTAGATACTATTGTAGTCGGCGCTAAGGTGACGGTGGTAAGGGGTGGAACAGTAGCTACTGTAGTTGCTTCCTCTACTGTGGTCGAAGTAATTATGGTGGATGTACTTTCCTCAGTAGTAGTACCTGCTGTCGTGGATGGAGCTTCTGTAGATATTGAAGTTATCACTTCAGTCGTAGTTGCTGCTATGGTACTGGTAGTTTCAGTAGCAGCAGTAGATATTGAAGTTATCACTTCAGTCGTAGTTGGTGCTATAGTACTGGTAGTTTCAGTAGCAGCAGTAGATACTACTGTAGTCGGCGCTACGGTGACGGTGGTAGGGGGTGGAACAGTAGCTACTGTAGTTGCTTCCTCTGCTGTGGTCGAAGTAATTATGGTGGATGTACTTTCCTCAGTAGTAGTACCTGCTGTCGTGGATGGAGCTTCTGTAGATATTGAAGTTATCACTTCAGTCGTAGTTGATGCTATGGTACTGGTAGTTTCAGTAGCAGTAGTAGATACTACTGTAGTCGGCGCTACGGTGACAGTGGTAGGGGGTGGAACAGTAGCTACTGTAGTGGCTTCCTCTACTGTGGTCGAAGTAATTATGGTGGATGTACTTTCCTCAGTAGTAGTAACTGGTACCGTGGATGGAGTTTCTGTAAATGTCGTTACCACTTCAGTCGTGGTTGGTGCTATGGTACTAGTAGCTTCAGTAGCAGTAGTAGATACTACTGTAGTCGGCGCTACGGTGACGGTGGTAGGGGGTGGAACAGTAGCTACTGTAGTTGCTTCCTCTGCTGTGGTCGAAGTAATTATGGTGGATGTACTTTCCTCAGTAGTAGTACCTGCTGTCGTGGATGGAGCTTCTGTAGATATTGAAGTTATCACTTCAGTCGTAGTTGGTGCTATGGTACTGGTAGTTTCAGTAGCAGCAGTAGATATTGAAGTTATCACTTCAGTCGTAGTTGGTGCTATGGTACTGGTAGTTTCAGTAGCAGTAGTAGATACTACTGTAGTCGGGGCTACGGCGACGGTGGTAGGGGGTGGAACAGTAGCTTCTGTAGTTGTTTCCTTTACTGTGGTCGTAGTAATTATGGTGGATGTACTCTCCTCGGTAGTAGCAGCTGCTATCGTGGATGGAGCTTCTGTAGATGTCGTTACCACTTCAGTCGTGGTTGGTGCTATGGTACTGGTAGTTTCAATAGCACTGGTAGCTGTAACTGTAGTCGAAGCTACTGTGACGGTTGTAGTGGGTGGAACAGTAGCTTCTGTAGATGTCATTACCACTTCAGTCGTGGTTGGTGTTATGGTACTGGTAGTTTCAATAGCACTGGTAGCTGTAACTGTAGTCGAAGCTACTGTGACGGTTGTAGTGGGTGGAACAGTAGCTTCTGTCGTTGTTTCCTCTACTGTGGTCGTAGTAATTATGGTGGATGTACTCTCCTCGGTAGTAGTAGCTGCTATCGTGGATGGAGCTTGTGTAGATGTCGTTACCACTTCAGTCGTGGTTGGTGCTATGGTACTAGAAGTTTCAGTAGCAGTAGTAGCTACTACTGTAGTCGGAGCTACAGTGACGGTGGTAGTGGGTGGAACAGTAGCTTTTGTAGTTGTTTCCTCTACTGTGGTCGTAGTATTTATGGTGGATGTCCTCTCCTCGGTAGTAGTAGCTCCTATCGTGGTTGGAGCCTCTCTAGATGTTGTTGTCACTTCCGTCGTGGATGGTGCTAGGGTACTGGTAGGTTCAATAACACTGGTAGTTGTTACTGTAGTCGAAGCTACTGTGACGGTTGTAGTGGGTGGAACCGTAGCTTCTGTAGTTGTTTCCTCTACTGTGGTCGTAGTAATTATGGTGGATGTACTCTCCTCGGTAGTAGCAGCTGCTATCGTGGATGGAGCTTCTGTAGATGTCGTTACCACTTCAGTCGTGGTTGGTGCTATGGTACTGGTAGTTTCAATAGCACTGGTAGCTGTAACTGTAGTCGAAGCTACTGTGACGGTTGTAGTGGGTGGAACAGTAGCTTCTGTCGTTGTTTCCTCTACTGTGGTCGTAGTAATTATGGTGGATGTACTCTCCTCGGTAGTAGTAGCTGCTATCGTGGATGGAGCTTGTGTAGATGTCGTTACCACTTCAGTCGTGGTTGGTGCTATGGTACTAGAAGTTTCAGTAGCAGTAGTAGCTACTACTGTAGTCGGAGCTACAGTGACGGTGGTAGTGGGTGGAACAGTAGCTTTTGTAGTTGTTTCCTCTACTGTGGTCGTAGTATTTATGGTGGATGACCTCTCCTCGGTAGTAGTAGCTCCTATCGTGGTTGGAGCCTCTCTAGATGTTGTTGTCACTTCCGTCGTGGATGGTGCTAGGGTACTGGTAGGTTCAATAACACTGGTAGTTGTTACTGTAGTCGAAGCTACTGTGACGGTTGTAGTGGGTGGAACCGTAGCTTCTGTAGTTGTTTCCTCTACTGTGGTCGTAGTAATTATGGTGGATGTACTCTCCTCGGTAGTAGCAGCTGCTATCGTGGATGGAGCTTCTGTAGATGTCGTTACCACTTCAGTCGTGGTTGGTGCTATGGTACTGGTAGTTTCAATAGCACTGGTAGCTGTAACTGTAGTCGAAGCTACTGTGACGGTTGTAGTGGGTGGAACAGTAGCTTCTGTCGTTGTTTCCTCTACTGTTGTCGTAGTAATTATGGTGGATGTACTCTCCTCGGTAGTAGTAGCTGCTATCGTGGATGGAGCTTGTGTAGATGTCGTTACCACTTCAGTCGTGGTTGGTGCTATGGTACTAGAAGTTTCAGTAGCAGTAGTAGCTACTACTGTAGTCGGAGCTACAGTGACGGTGGTAGTGGGTGGAACAGTAGCTTTTGTAGTTGTTTCCTCTACTGTGGTCGTAGTATTTATGGTGGATGTCCTCTCCTCGGTAGTAGTAGCTCCTATCGTGGTTGGAGCCTCTCTAGATGTTGTTGTCACTTCCGTCGTGGATGGTGCTAGGGTACTGGTAGGTTCAATAACACTGGTAGTTGTTACTGTAGTCGAAGCTACTGTGACGGTTGTAGTGGGTGGAACCGTAGCTTCTGTAGTTGTTTCCTCTACTGTGGTCGTAGTAATTATGGTGGATGTACTCTCCTCGGTAGTAGCAGCTGCTATCGTGGATGGAGCTTCTGTAGATGTCGTTACCACTTCAGTCGTGGTTGGTGCTATGGTACTGGTAGTTTCAATAGGACTGGTAGCTGTAACTGTAGTCGAAGCTACTGTGACGGTTGTAGTGGGTGGAACAGTAGCTTCTGTCGTTGTTTCCTCTACTGTGGTCGTAGTAATTATGGTGGATGTACTCTCCTCGGTGGTAGTAGCTGCTATCGTGGATGGAGCTTGTGTAGATGTCGTTACCACTTCAGTCGTGGTTGGTGCTATGGTACTAGAAGTTTCAGTAGCAGTAGTAGCTACTACTGTAGTCGGAGCTACAGTGACGGTGGTAGTGGGTGGAACAGTAGCTTTTGTAGTTGTTTCCTCTACTGTGGTCGTAGTAATTATGGTGAATGTACTCTCCTCGGTAGTAGTAGCTCCTATCGTGGTTGGAGCCTCTCTAGATGTTGTTGTCACTTCCGTCGTGGATGGTGCTAGGGTACTGGTAGGTTCAATAACACTGGTAGTTGTTACTGTAGTCGAAGCTACTGTGACGGTTGTGGTGGGTGGAACCGTAGCTTCTGTAGTTGTTTCCTCTACTGTGGTCGTAGTAATTATGGTGGATGTACTCTCCTCGGTAGTAGCAGCTGCTATCGTGGATGGAGCTTCTGTAGATGTCGTTACCACTTCAGTCGTGGTTGGTGCTATGGTACTGGTAGTTTCAATAGGACTGGTAGCTGTAACTGTAGTCGAAGCTACTGTGACGGTTGTAGTGGGTGGAACAGTAGCTTCTGTCGTTGTTTCCTCTACTGTGGTCGTAGTAATTATGGTGGATGTACTCTCCTCGGTAGTAGTAGCTGCTATCGTGGATGGAGCTTGTGTAGATGTCGTTACCACTTCAGTCGTGGTTGGTGCTATGGTACTAGAAGTTTCAGTAGCAGTAGTAGCTACTACTGTAGTCGGAGCTACAGTGACGGTGGTAGTGGGTGGAACAGTAGCTTTTGTAGTTGTTTCCTCTACTGTGGTCGTAGTAATTATGGTGGATGTACTCTCCTCGGTAGTAGTAGCTCCTATCGTGGTTGGAGCCTCTCTAGATGTTGTTGTCACTTCCGTCGTGGATGGTGCCAGGGTACTGGTAGGTTCAATAACACTGGTAGTTGTTACTGTAGTCGAAGCTACTGTGACGGTTGTAGTGGGTGGAACCGTAGCTTCTGTAGTTGTTTCCTCTACTGTGGTCGTAGTAATTATGGTGGATGTACTCTCCTCGGTAGTAGCAGCTGCTATCGTGGATGGAGCTTCTGTAGATGTCGTTACCACTTCAGTCGTGGTTGGTGCTATGGTACTGGTAGTTTCAATAGCACTGGTAGCTGTAACTGTAGTCGAAGCTACTGTGACGGTTGTAGTGGGTGGAACAGTAGCTTCTGTCGTTGTTTCCTCTACTGTTGTCGTAGTAATTATGGTGGATGTACTCTCCTCGGTAGTAGTAGCTGCTATCGTGGATGGAGCTTGTGTAGATGTCGTTACCACTTCAGTCGTGGTTGGTGCTATGGTACTAGAAGTTTCAGTAGCAGTAGTAGCTACTACTGTAGTCGGAGCTACAGTGACGGTGGTAGTGGGTGGAACAGTAGCTTTTGTAGTTGTTTCCTCTACTGTGGTCGTAGTATTTATGGTGGATGTCCTCTCCTCGGTAGTAGTAGCTCCTATCGTGGTTGGAGCCTCTCTAGATGTTGTTGTCACTTCCGTCGTGGATGGTGCTAGGGTACTGGTAGGTTCAATAACACTGGTAGTTGTTACTGTAGTCGAAGCTACTGTGACGGTTGTAGTGGGTGGAACCGTAGCTTCTGTAGTTGTTTCCTCTACTGTGGTCGTAGTAATTATGGTGGATGTACTCTCCTCGGTAGTAGCAGCTGCTATCGTGGATGGAGCTTCTGTAGATGTCGTTACCACTTCAGTCGTGGTTGGTGCTATGGTACTGGTAGTTTCAATAGGACTGGTAGCTGTAACTGTAGTCGAAGCTACTGTGACGGTTGTAGTGGGTGGAACAGTAGCTTCTGTCGTTGTTTCCTCTACTGTGGTCGTAGTAATTATGGTGGATGTACTCTCCTCGGTGGTAGTAGCTGCTATCGTGGATGGAGCTTGTGTAGATGTCGTTACCACTTCAGTCGTGGTTGGTGCTATGGTACTAGAAGTTTCAGTAGCAGTAGTAGCTACTACTGTAGTCGGAGCTACAGTGACGGTGGTAGTGGGTGGAACAGTAGCTTTTGTAGTTGTTTCCTCTACTGTGGTCGTAGTAATTATGGTGAATGTACTCTCCTCGGTAGTAGTAGCTCCTATCGTGGTTGGAGCCTCTCTAGATGTTGTTGTCACTTCCGTCGTGGATGGTGCTAGGGTACTGGTAGGTTCAATAACACTGGTAGTTGTTACTGTAGTCGAAGCTACTGTGACGGTTGTGGTGGGTGGAACCGTAGCTTCTGTAGTTGTTTCCTCTACTGTGGTCGTAGTAATTATGGTGGATGTACTCTCCTCGGTAGTAGCAGCTGCTATCGTGGATGGAGCTTCTGTAGATGTCGTTACCACTTCAGTCGTGGTTGGTGCTATGGTACTGGTAGTTTCAATAGGACTGGTAGCTGTAACTGTAGTCGAAGCTACTGTGACGGTTGTAGTGGGTGGAACAGTAGCTTCTGTCGTTGTTTCCTCTACTGTGGTCGTAGTAATTATGGTGGATGTACTCTCCTCGGTAGTAGTAGCTGCTATCGTGGATGGAGCTTGTGTAGATGTCGTTACCACTTCAGTCGTGGTTGGTGCTATGGTACTAGAAGTTTCAGTAGCAGTAGTAGCTACTACTGTAGTCGGAGCTACAGTGACGGTGGTAGTGGGTGGAACAGTAGCTTTTGTAGTTGTTTCCTCTACTGTGGTCGTAGTAATTATGGTGGATGTACTCTCCTCGGTAGTAGTAGCTCCTATCGTGGTTGGAGCCTCTCTAGATGTTGTTGTCACTTCCGTCGTGGATGGTGCCAGGGTACTGGTAGGTTCAATAACACTGGTAGTTGTTACTGTAGTCGAAGCTACTGTGACGGTTGTAGTGGGTGGAACCGTAGCTTCTGTAGTTGTTTCCTCTACTGTGGTCGTAGTAATTATGGTGGATGTACTCTCCTCGGTAGTAGCAGCTGCTATCGTGGATGGAGCTTCTGTAGATGTCGTTACCACTTCAGTCGTGGTTGGTGCTATGGTACTGGTAGTTTCAATAGGACTGGTAGCTGTAACTGTAGTCGAAGCTACTGTGACGGTTGTAGTGGGTGGAACAGTAGCTTCTGTAGATGTCGTTACCACTTCAGTCGTGGTTGGTGCTATGGTACTGGTAGTTTCAATCGCACTGGTAGCTGTTACTGTAGTCGAAGCTACTGTGACGGTTGTAGTGGGTGGAGCAGTAGCTTGTGTCGTTGTTTCCTCTACTGTCGTCGTAGTAATTATGGTGGATGTACTCTCCTCGGTAGTAGTAGCTGCTATCGTGGATGGAGCTTCTGTGGATGTCGTTACCACTTCAGTCGTGGTTGGTGCTATGGTACTAGAAGTTTCAGTAGCAGTAGTAGCTACTACTGTAGTCGGAGCTACAGTGACGGTGGTAGTGGGTGGAACAGTAGCTTTTGTAGTTGTTTCCTCTGTTGTGGTCGTAGTAATTATGGTGGATGTACTCTCCTCGGTAGTAGTAGCTCCTATCGTGGTTGGAGCCTCTCTAGATGTTGTTGTCACTTCCGTCGTGGATGTGCTGGTAGTTTCAGCAGCAGTGGTAGCTATTACTGTAGTCGAAGCTACTTTGACGGTGGTAGTGGGTGGAACAGTAGCTTCTGTAGTTGTTTCCTTTACTGTGGTCGTAGTAATTATGGTGGATGTACTCTCCTCGGTAGTAGCAGCTGCTATCGTGGATGGAGCTTCTGTAGATGTCGTTACCACTTCAGTCGTGGTTGGTGCTATGGTAGTGGTAGTTTCAGCAGCAGTGGTAGCTATTACTGTAGTCGAAGCTACTTTGATGGTGGTAGTGGGTGGAACAGTAGCTTCTGTAGTTGTTTCCTTTACTGTGGTCGTAGTAATTATGGTGGATGTACTCTCCTCGGTAGTAGCAGCTGCTATCGTGGATGAAGCTTCTGTGGATGTCGTTACCACTTCAGTCGTGGTTGGTGCTACGGTACTAGAAGTTTCAGTAGCAGTAGTAGCTACTACTGTGGTCGAAGCTACTGTGACGGTTGTAGTGGGTGGAACAGCAGCTTCTGTAGTTGTTTCCTGTACTGTGGTCGTAGTAATTATGGTGGATGTACTCTCCTCGGTAGTAGTAGCTGGTACCGTGGATGGAGCTTCTGTAGATGTTGTTACCACTTCAGTCGTGGTTGGGGCTATGGTACTGGAAGTTTCAGAAGCAGTGGTAAGTATTGCTGTAGTCGGAGCTGTTGTGACAGTGGAAGGGGGTGGAACGGTAGTTTCTGTAGTTGTTGCTTCCACTGTGAATGTAGAAATTATGGTGGATGTACTCTCTTCGGTAGTAGTAGCTGCTATCGTGGTTGGAGCCTCTGTAGATCCTGTCGTTATCACTTCAGTGGTCGTTGGTGCTATGGTACTGGTAGATTCAGTAGCAGTGGTAGCTATTACTGTAGTCGGAACTAATGTGACGGTGGTAGGGGGTGGAATTGTAGCTTCTGTAGTTGTCTCTTCTACTATCGTAGTCGATTTTTCGGTAGTTGTGGATGGTACTGTAGTTGGAGCTTTTCTAACTGTGGTAGTCGGACGCTCTGTGGATTCTGTTGTGGTCATTTCAGTTGTAGTGGTAGTTTCTGTAGTACTACTAACTGTTACTGTTGTCGGAGCTACTGTGGTGGTGGTAGTGGAAGGAACAGTAGGCTCCGTGGTTGTGTCTTCAATTGTTGTAATAATAGTGGTGGTTGTACTCTTCTGAGTATTTGTTGTTCCTTCTGTGGATGTGGTGATAGCGGTCTTCGTGGATTCTGTCGTTATTTCTTCAGCTGTTGTAATTTTGGCTGTGGTAGTAGATTTTGATATCGTTGTTGGCAATAATGTAGTAATTCTTGTAGTTGGCTCTCGCGTTGTTTCTTCTGCAACGGTTGTTGAAGATATGGTCGTACTTTCCACGGTTACTTTTACCGTAGTAGTGGAAGATGCAGTCGTTGTTGGTTCTGCTGTTACTATTGTTACTTCAGTAGTCGTGCTTTCTTCAGTCGTAGTTTCTGGTATTGCCGTAAGTAACCTGGTTATAGTTGTGGGTACTTCAACTGATTCCGTTGTTGCAGTTGTTTTTTCCTTAGTAGTAGCCACTAAAGTGGTGGTTGGTACTACTGTGATCGTGGTAATAGGTAAAACAGTAGATTCCGTAGTCGTCGCTTCTGATGTTGTTAATATTATGGTTGTACTTTCTTCAGTAGTAGGTTCTAATGTTGTTGTTGAAGGCGTAGTTATAATTTTTTCAATTGTAGTTTCTACTTTCGTTGTTGGCAATGTTGGAGCTACGGTTGTGGTAGATGTTACTTCAGAAGTAGTTGTTTCTGTTGTTACTTCGTTCATAACTGTTGATGTTGTAGTTGTTGACATTAAAGTAGTTGTTAAAATATTTGTTACAGTTACAATTGAAAGCATCGTAGTTGTGGTAATCTCTTTTGTGGTAATCGTTGTATCTTCGTATTCATACCATCCCGGAGATTCTGTAGTAGATTCTACATCATCATAATCGTACGATTCCTTATAATCTTCTTCATATTCCTTATCATGAAATATCTCAGGTTCTTCGGTCGATTCATCTTCACTTACCGAAAATGTTTCTACTGTAGTTGGGACCATAGTTGTGCTAAGTAGATGCTGATCTACCCAACTCAGGGTTGTTTGTAAAACATCTATTTCATGTTGATATTCAGTATTGTATGTTAACTGTGACTCAACATGCGGTGTTCCTGTCGTAAGGATATTTAACGCATCGACATATGCGGTCACTTCCTTATTTTCAGTAATTGTATTAGTCGTTTCAGTATCTCTTCTCCTTCTAATATCTCGTTTTCTTCTTTTCTTAACGAAACCAACTGTTTTTTGGGTGACTGGTAATCGTAAAATTCGCTGAAGGTCCACATTTCTCCTTGTAGTACTTTTTAAAAATGGCAGTTCTAATAATCTTGTTAATAAAAATGTCTTGTTCCAATCATTTCGAAATTTAAAATCTTCACTAAACATAGAACTATGATTCGATCTTCTTCTCTTACCACGAAAAAATAAGTTCGACGATCTCCTTGCCCTTTTCGATTTCTTACGATTCGATCTTAAATTGGATTCGTAACTAATTGATTTTAAATTTCTAACAAGTCTATGATGCGGTTTATTTATAAGTAAAAAATCGTCGCAAAAATAAGGATGAATATCATCTATGAAAGGATATGGGTAACTGACTTTGTGATCCCCCATAGGAATAGTCCTCGAATCTAATTCTGTTTCTTCCATATTTACTAATTCTACATTACTTTCTAAAAAATTCTTTCTTCCTACATTCTGTACAATTATTTTATTTCGCCATTGTTTAAGAATTTCAGATAAATCAGTGCATTGGGCTCCTAAAATATTTTCTTCCAGTTGTTTCGACCTAGTTGTTGTTGTTGTTGTTGTACAAAAATTAACACTCTATAATACACAACATTAATTAATGACAGTGACAATTAATCACAAGTGGTTATGTTTCAAACATTAGTACTTTGAACGTTGTTTAAGATATAATTTGTTATTTAAAATCAATAGAAATGTTTGCATATTTATTCATACTTACAGTAGTTTCTTTTATCATAGTTCTATTAATACTGTTATAGTTAACAGAATTGTTATCAATGCTATTAGAGGTACTGACGGTTACATCAACGTTCTTTGCTACTATTACCATGTATATCGCAAACAACTTACAAAACACAATAAGGAATATATTTTGCATAGCGTCATATCACGCGCATTCGTTAAGATTCTTGCACTTTTCTAACGCATGCTTATCAATCCGATCACGAATCATCGTGTTAAAGAATAACTATTGTGAAGATACCACGTTCATCGATAAGCTTTTAATTGCAGCCAAATTAACATGATTAATCATCGATTAGTGTATATTTAATTTAACGATAACGTCAGAGGAGAAAAGTTTATGAACAAAATCAGCAATTATATAATCGTAAGATTGATTAAGAAATTTAATAACGCATTAATAATTTTGATTATTGATATAAATTAATAAATTTTATACGAAAAACGATGCTATGATACTGGAATCAATTTTATCATGTTCCTACTTATTTCTAACATGTGGATCCTGTATTTATACCTTAATAAGGCATTCTTACGTTCAATATTCGAAATTCCTTTCTCATTTTGTGTGTGCATGCTGCGGTATCGCGACGATTAGTACCCGATCCTTCATCGTTTTTGTGTATAAACTTTTCTTTCGAGAATACAGTAAGTAATATTTCATTTTACAGTCTTATTTTGTACTAGTAATAATTGATTTTTATTTCCAGTTTTCGATCCGATAATAATACAGATGCAGGAAGAAAGGAATAAAAAAAGGTGTAATGTTTTATACGAATTACTTGGCACTTTGAGCATGGCCAGTTTAATTTGTTCCTTATATTGTCATCATGGTTATTATATCATTGGTGTCTTTGTTGCTACCAGCATATCAATTTTTGATGTATTTAAATTATATGAGATGAGCATTCCGAAACCAAAGGTATTTAGGAAGTACTGTATTAATGTGAAATTTTGTAATTATACGAAATTTAAATATAATACCTGATTTAAAATTGAAATAAACTTTCCACCATAATTCCAGGAAATTAAACCATCGCAGTTTCCCTACATTCCTTCCCGATTAAAATTCACAGCTGAACCCAGGTGCACTATGTTCATTTGGGTGCTCGTTAGTGTTTGTTTCGCGTAAGTAAAATAATTAATTTTATTTTTATACATTTCCTATTGTCAGAATTAATTCAATAATATATTTATTTTAGGTATTCAGTAGGTAATAATTTTGCATTGGCAGCAAATTATCCTTACCTTCTGACAAACTGGGTATTCACCCCAGAAGGATTTTATGAAGGATGGACGGTGCGAAGTACTATTAATGATTATATGATGGCTGCTTATGTGATATGTATAACAGAAGCATTTAAATTTTAAAGAAATAAAATCACGTTTGAAAGCCTTTATCACAAAATTTGAATGCCATAATTTCTGCAAGTGTATGGAGAGGAATCTTCGATTAATTGCCTCTTAATCTTAGGGGAGCCTAGGAAAAGACTTTGGGAATCCTAGGGACAGCTTAGAAAATGCCATGGGAAATCTAAGTAGAGCTTAGAAAAAGCTTTGAGGAAACCTACGGAGAACCTAGGAAAAACCTTAGGGGAATCCAGAGGGGATCTAGGGAGATCCTAAGGAAAATCTTGATACAGCCTAAGGAGAAGTCAAGGAAAACCTACGGAAAAACCTTGAAAAAGCCTAAACTGAAACCTAGAACCTATCCTCAATTAACCTCCTTCCTCTTTTCAACTAAGAGCAGCCTAATAGAAGTATATCGAATGAATTACACTGATGATTGAATGCTGATCGTTGTAGCCTTTATTCCGCTTGCAATCAACACAACCTTCTTTTCTTAGCTTAAATTTACACGTACGCACGCGATATGTACAAAAAGAGAACCTACGTCTATTAAATATTACAAATGGCGGTATCACGTTTAAAAGAGCGAAGAAATGTAAGCGTGAGATGATTGTGATTATTGCCACACAGATATAAACGACAGCCAATCTTCTAAAAGATCAACCGTGTAAAACCGTCAATTATCACACGATAGTTGCGCTATTCACCGGTCAGTTCGTTTATCTTAAATATCTAATCACATATTATAAAAAAAAATGATATCTTTTTTTCTTCAGGACTGTCTTTAACTCTTTCAAGTTTAACGACTTTGAAGTCCAGTTTAATAGTATTTGAAGTTCAAGAACTTGAAATTAAGGAACTTCATTGTTTTTTCTTTTTTTTTTAAAAATAAATAAAGGGAGAAGTTAAAGACGGCCCTGATTCACATTCGTTTCATCATAAATTAGTCTACTCGAAGGCAGTCTTTTTCATACTTCTCTTATATCATAAGTAATCGAATTATTGAATAATTGCTACACGAGAAATGCATGGTGATACTTATGAAATTCCATTCTGTCATTTTTAGGCCATTCTTTAATCTCTTTCGGTCAGTTGAATGATAGGAATGGCAGTCATCGTTATACATCTGGAAAATCAAATTAAACCAATAACTCAAGCGACGCAGAATTTATTTTGAATAAATCTAAATCCGAAAACTGTCACGTTAAAACGATTGAACGATAAGATACGGAAGATGATAAATGAATATTATCACCGTAGAAATGGTACCAGAGCCGATAAGACCTTTTGACTGACATAGTTCAATCTCTCTTCCCTCTTAATAAGGCATTTTGTAAATTACATACGTTCGTGAAAATGGTCCGATCAGATATTGTTCGCCTCTCTCCACGTGTTCTGAGCCAAGTTTTGAAGCCTAAGGCTACTGCCGGTATTCTCGTCTGGTTCATAAGCGGAATTCGTGTGTCCAGCGTGTCCCTCGAACACGTCCTTAACAGAAATCTGACTGCTTCTCGACGGACGTCCTTGAATTCCTAAAGGATTCCCTGCCACTCCGTAAATATTGTTCGCTCCTAAAGTTTGCATTTGCGATTTCCTCCTCGCCATTATGCTATTCCTACGTCCTTCAAAAGCCTTGAAAGCTTTTGCTGAACGTCTGGTTGACATGTTCCTTGGTAAACCTAAATAAATGATACCATTTCTTCCCTTGTTGCAATTCATATTTCAATATCGTGCAATAAGCAAAATTGCAAGTTATTGTGATCTGAGATTTTGTTCCTTAAAACTTTCGGACACAGTTTCTGGCAAACGTTGTTCGAATATCGGAAATGCCGTCACGTTCTTGAATACGTGACAGCCACACAAAGGAACACAAGATTCGCTTTTACATATCATCAACATATTTTTTGTACAAGATGTTTCAAAAAAGAATGTGAAATGCAAAAATTATAAATTCTATCTTGCAAGATGATAAATTAATTTTACATACTGTGCCAAATTTTGAATTCGTTGTAACGCGAAATTAACAGACCTTTAACTTACCGTTTCCTTCGGACATACTGAAAAATCGCTGTCTAAAAGCAACATCAAGCGTATTGATTGCTTGAGTCTTTCTCCGACTCTTTTCAAGGTTTCTTATCGTCTTTCTTCTTCCAGGACCGCTACCACTGCCTTCTTCATAATCACCCTCCATTCCGTCTAATCTTTGTAAATCTCTGACTATCTCCACCGCGTGTTTCGATAGTAATGCTTCCTCCGATAAATCCTTCGTCTAATAAATCAAATAGAAAAAGAACTGAAGAAATTGGGTTATAACTAATCTGGTGGCCGGATGACGGCATAAGACGTCAAGGGGGTGGAACGGCAGTAAAAGTGTATTTTATCGTTATAATGTGTTTCGTGTTGAGAAGAGAATTATTTTGTTTAGTCAAATATACATTAAGTTTTTATACATGGCACATACCTTCTTGCAACAATACCAATCGAGGCTGGTACTGGCTAAGATATGGGCGAACGTGCCAAATCGATGGAACAGCATGGCGGTAAATTGAATCACCAATATCAGCGCAAAAAAGAATACGAAAACCAAACCAATTGGTTCGAGTTGGAGGTACTCCTTTGTAATGTGTACCTAGAAAATGCATTGTCATCATTAAAACAGACGTTGATGAATGAGCCTGTACAAATCGAATTTAAAATAGAAACACAGAGAACGAGATACGCATAAAGTAGTCCATATTGCGGTTATTATTGTTGTTTCATCGCGTTATATTAATTTTTAAACAATCTTTCTAAATTCTATCGATCTAATTTTTTAAAAATTACAGTGCAATATTATACTTTAAAATGAAGCAACAATTATTTTTCTTGTACGTACGTAATTACTTTATTTTTAACAGTTATGACAATTTATTATTATTATTGTCAGTTTTTTTTAAATTAATAATTAAAGATTGATTGATCGTACGTACAAGAACACCGCATAAACAGATATGTTTCTAGACACAAACATGTATAAGCCACCGTTTAGTTACATTGACAGTAACTCGTTAGTGGTGCTCCTCTGCTGTCATACCTAGCAGTGCATTATCAGAATTAGACACATAAGAATGTGAAACAATAATCTGCGTGACAATTCCTCCCCTCGTTCATAGTCAGGCAGATACACCCTCTTCTATAAGTCACGAGGCAATTATTAATTTCAATTTTTCATTTAAATTAACACTACTAAAAATAATTTATTGTACAATAATTTTGAATTTAAACCTTGTTATCGATAGATTAATTAATTAATTTTTTACTAAAACGTTGAAATCCAATGATTGGAGTTGAAACTGAAATAAAATTATTTTAAAATGATAAAGTGTGCCATGACTTATTAACGAGGGTGTACATAAGTGGAAAATAGGACAATGTATACATATAGAGGTGCTTTTTGACTTCAACTCTTTCGTGACCCGTGAATCGTGCACGCTCTACAGCATTGTGAAAAATAAATACAAAGCTTCTAGCTTAAATTTTAGATACTCCCAGGCCACGGGAGAGTTGAAGGGTACAGAAGTTAATGTTAGTCAAGATAAAAGAAAACCTATGAATGTGAGTGGTCGTACGACAACGATTCTCTTCGTTTCACATAAAGACGAAGACGTAACGAGGGATGATACATGGGATGAGGAATCCAAATTAACAAGATATCGATGGTTATTTGTGACTTAGCAAACTAGTTTCTAGTCAGTTGCTTGATTCCGCCCCAGCTGTTTTATTCGTTCCGGGTGTACCTGTGCAAACATGTTAATGGTAATTTGCCACGTGCTGCTGTTCCACGTTATTAACAAAACACAGAAATGTCCCAACAAGTGCAACATTATCACCGGATATAATAATTCCAGCGTGCTCCGATGTTCACTTTATCCCGCGCGCTAAATTTTTCGACTAACTGCTCTATTGTCCACTTGTGTTCAATAATTTTGAATTAAAATAATTGTTAAATGAATTGAAGGAAAGGAAAAATTTATTAAACACAAGATGAATGATTTATTTAAAAATCACTAAATAAAAGCATAAAGGGCTAAGAGCTAACGAATACTAACTAATAAAATATTTCAGTGGTATTGATATTTGAAAATCACTAGATAGAAGCATAAAGGGTTAAGGGCTGCTAAGAGCTAACAGACACATTTTCTCGAAATGTCAATTTTCTTAGAAACAAGGCTAAATATAGAAATAATATATTTCACATTTTTCATTAATTTTTGTATGTAGAATCACCTTCGTCCATCAATACTGGGGCACCCTGTGTAATAGAATCAAATTGGTAATATTGTTAAAATGATAGCTTAAAAAGTGAAAAATCCAAGTTTGGATTTTGACTCCTTTCATTTCGATTTATTGTTATAAATGATAGGAATTAAATGTAAAAGATGAAGAAAATGGCGTGAACAACGGAGCACACGGAGGTGTTAGTCTCCCGAGGCATCCAGTGAGACAGCATCTCTGTTTTTCAGTTTCCATTTTTTCTTTTCTTTTTTTTTTTTGTTTGGAAATACCAGGTACCTCCGAGGTTTCTTCGATGAAGGTGACGTTCGTCTTGACGCCAAGTGGCCAAATAACATGTAGCTGATCTTTATTCAGCTGTAGCAAGAATACGATCAGAACGAACAACGCATTGAACATAAAAAACGCAAATACGCTCTTGTTCCGCAGCTCAATCAGGTCGGCGGCTATACGAGCCTGTCATGAATCAGGAAAGCAAACAAACACAAATTAGCAAAGATATGAAAAAAAATACGCTCCGTCCAGTCACTCGTTGATCCTTCAGCTTCTTCGAGGATTTTCACTGAGGACATTTCACTCTTGATTCATTTCTAATATTTAAATTTCTTTTTTAAATATTAAAGAAGAAATATCTGATTTTTTCATTGCAAAACAATTTTAATGCTTTAAAATTTGAAATCCACCTCTGGAACAGCGGATGAAATGAAATTTTTACAGCAGAAAAATAATTTAAAGTTTGAAAAATTAAAATTAAAATTATTTTTAATTGATAATCAACGTGTTAATGTTTATATTTCTTGAAAATAAAGTAATGTCTCTAACATTGAAAATGTTTTGCCAAAATAAAAATAGATATACATAGTGATAAACGTAAGAACCAAATAGCTCATTGATATGGAATGGTTTTTTTTCTGTCGGGGGAATGGGAATTTGGGGTAAGATTTAAGAAGCAGGATAACTCGACATGGACGGAGCGGTCTTTACCTCCTGCGAGCTTCCGTCATAGGTGATGTTCGTCTTGATACCGAATGGCCATTTCACGTGCAACAAATCTTTGTTTAATTGGAGTAGAAAGACGATCAGGACGAAGAGGGCATTCAGCATAAAAAACGCAAACACACTCTGGTCACGTAGGTCCTTTAGATCTTTGGCGATTCGTGCCTGATGTAAGCAGCATAGTTCGGTTATTCAATTATTCGATTATGGATATTATAAACTTTCTTTATACTGCCAGAATTGATTTTTAATTATATTTTCTTGGGCACGTTAATTTTAAAATTTTTTCACTTCGAGTAATTTTCAATTTTCTATTTTGATACTTGATTTAAAAGGAACGTAGCACTATGATAAATTTTTAAAATGCTTAAAAAGATAAATAACTGTATAAAATAATAAAAATATAGGTAGATTGAAATATATACTTCTAGAAAACAAATAAATGATTTAACCCTTGAATAGCTGAGCCTGAGTCAATAGAGACCCAGAAAAAAACAAATTTTCTTATTACTTTGGCGAGAAATTATTTTTATCTTTTGACCATTACTTTTTCTAAATTAAAATAGTTCACTTTTTTCAATAACCAAATCTATTAAAACAAAAGTTACCTTCTCTGCTTTGTCTTCGTCGATAGGATAGAGATACTTCTCCAGAAGATCCTTCCAGAATTGTTCCTCTTGAAGCGACAGTACATCGATCTCACCCTTTTTCAGTCCATCGTCGTTCAGCCAATAGGGCCTACTAAGGAAATGACTACCCTCTCGATTGCCTTCGGTATTTTGACTAGTCACAGTTTCCGCGTCGGTATTGCAGTCCTGATCTTCAGCAATCCGGGAACCCGCGGAGGATGCGCGTATTCGTCCTGAGTGACTATGAGGATCCACAGCCCTGAATAGACGAAAATAATATTAACGAATTCTTACACTATTTCAACTATTAATAATATTAAAGAAATAGTTAATAACCTTTCAATGACTTCCAAACGTTTGCCAACTTGCTCCAACGACTCGGCAATGGCGACCAATTGTTGTTTTTCATTAGAAGTCTGACCATGTGTGCAGAACATGCATTTAAACAATCCTGCCAAGGAGATTTCTATCGATCCCTCCTCGTCTTCGTTCGACCCAACGCCATTTTGCAGAAAGCCTAACAAGGACTTTTGTTTCGCTTTCTGTTTCGCCTCCTCGGCTTCTTTTTTCTCTTGTTCAAGTTCCTATTTGCACGGTAATAAGAAAACAAGACATTTATTATGCGAATAACAAGTAATAAAAATGATACCAAAACGAATTTCAAAAGTAAGCAGAAAGCTATTGTTACAGTGCAATTGTAATAATTTCTATTTTACAATATAGAATTAAATTGTTAAATATTAATGGTTAGTTACGATAGAACGATAAAAGAAGGTAAATTAATTAATTAGTATGTTAAGAGGGTAAATAATTACCTTGGCAGTTTTCTTAACTGGTACTTCCCTGGTCCCCCACGTAATGTCATGCAAATTACAGATCGAGTAAATAATAAGCAGAACGTACATTGAGGGAACTGTTATAAAGTAGATGAGACTGTATAATAGGCAGTTTATTTCCGCGGGATGCAATATTCCGGCTATCGCCATCTGACTTATTAGTAGTGCAACAAACAGCGCGGAAGGTGACAATGCTCCATCCTGAGAGATGCTTATTGCAATTCCAACAATTACAGCAACCATTACCATGCTATACAGGGTGCTGATCAGTGCTGCCATAAATACCTGATACACCATTGTTAAAGTTAATTAGCATGCACGGTAATTCATTGAAATATGAAGTGGGTTTAAACGTGGTAAATCATTCGTGATTAGGAATAAACTAAAACATACATTTGCAGACAAGAAAGCAACACTTCATTTTGCGTGCAGAATTATATAAAAGCGTACCCTCGATGGCCATGTTTCAATTACCAGCACCATCCTCCATTTTAGTGCTCCATCTGTTTAATGATATTACAGTGAAGTTAATATTATAAGTACAAAGTGTATGCCAGTATTGTTAAAACATCTGATAATTATTATAATTCTTTTAATAATAAAAAGTGGAATTAACTCTTATCAGATCTATATCATTATTAACCCTTATCTGATATCTGAAGAGAATGAAATCAACCCTCGGACGGCGGACCATGGAGAGAACTCCAATTTCATATTATTTTCTTTTCTTAAATTTTATACTGTTCCGTCTTATCCAACAAGGGTTAATCGTTTTGAGCTACCAGATCGAAGCAAAGCAGAAGAAAAATGAAGTACACGAGGACATTTGAACGAACCTTTTTAGTCTTTTTCACTTGGACTTCACGGGTACCCCAGGAGACGACGTTCAAGTTTATAATGGAATAAAGGATCAGAAGGAGATACATGGAGGGAATTGATAGAAGGTATATGATACCGGGTACGATACACCAAAATTCTTGTGGATGCAAACAGGCAGCTATGAAGAACGAACTGGACAAAGATATCAAGAATATAGCTGAAGGTGAGCCGATACCGTCCTCACCCAATTGGAGGGCCGTACCTACGATCACGGCCATCATTATCATCGCGTATCCTGTGGACAATATTTGCGCCAACAAAAGCTGAAAGGCAAGGACATAGGATGACAATCGTTCAAGGCGTAACATGATTTTGAAGGACGGATTCACGAGTGGATCTACTTACTTGAATATTCGCCTTACATGTAAAACATACGAGCATAAATAATAAAATAGGGATAATGTTGTAATAGAAACTGGTCCAATTGTCAATCTTGAAAGCAGCTACAAAGGCACCCACCAACATGAGGAAGATCGTACCTGGTCCTAAGATTGTACCACCTAAAAGAAATTAAAATATTCGAATCGAATGATCGGTAAAATTAGAATAAATAAATATTTAACTGACCCATAAGCAAAATTTGATAAGAGATGTAGGGAAGAGAAATATTGTCGTTAATTTTGATCGTTCGTTTCGCGTCCATTAAAAGATCCATTATATTGGCTATGGTAGACGGCACCCATCGACGACGTTGATTGTAAAATTCATTGAAGCCCTCCGGTGCGTGTGTGTAAGCATCGCTGGCTGCTGAATATTCAACCTGTGCCATTATTGAATATACCACAATGGTTAATCACTGTTTTCTCGCACCGTGTGGTTTAAATTATTTTTAAACAATCAAAATCAAAATTTTTCTAAGAAATATGATACAATTATTTTTTTTTTTTAATATTAACCCTTAATTGTGCATGAAATTAATTAAGAATTTCAAAGAAATATAAAATACTTACCCTGTAACCTCGTTGCAAAAGAAGAGTACAAAGCCATCGATCCTCTCCTTGATCGTACTGAACATAATGTCTTGCCTCGTCCGATCTCGTCGTATACTTCTTCATCACGTTATCATCCATCAAAGCTTTACCTCTAAACAACGAGAAACAGCCAGGACTACAAAGTACACAACCGATCATATGCTCGGTTGCCTTCTGCAGCCAATGCCCGATAGCGTACTCGAACATCTGGTACCATACCATAGGGCCTGACATAATCAATCAATAGAAATGAAATGAAAAATTGTTATTTGTTAAATCTACCAATAACATTCTTAATTTCTTTATATAAATTCAGGGTGTTTACCTGAACCAACTGGGTGAATACGACCACAAGCTGCACCAAGGTTCTTGTTCTTCTTCATTAAGTCCACCAGTAATTTCACAGCAGCCGGTTGGAAATCAATGTCACCATCAAGTGTTAATAAGTAAGTGTTCTCTGCGATCACTTCTTTACGATCTACGCTAATTGGTAACTCCATTAATCGATGACCAAGTAAATAGTACATGTACATAACCTGAAGAAGAAAAATAGAAGATAAAGTTTCTCATCTTTATAATTATTTTGCTGTTTCTAATTATATTCTACCTGACTCCAACGTTTCCTGTGACGAATCTTACTCTTGTCCTTCAAATGGGCAATCATCTTCGTTTTTCCCGGAAGAGTCCATACCAGTCGACCACCGTAAGGCGTTACATATTTCTTCGGGGCCCTCACATGCATCCGCGTTTGATGGACATCCGATGCAGCCTCGTCCAACGTACCCACCAGTAATTTCACGAACCAGTTCACCTGGGACTCATTTTCATCATGATCCGATAACTCGAAAGCGTCATCGAAAAAGATGTGAGCTGGAAAAATAAATTCACATTGCACACTTGTACAAATTGATATTTAAGTGAATCATTTTTAATGAAGTCAATATTAACCATAGCACTACTCTTAATACCTGAAGACATATTTGACACATTTTCAAATATAATATCACGCGATGGATGTAAGGTTGAGATGTAATACTTGATACTTTTATTTATTAATGAAAAAATAAATTTTATACGCTTGAATAATAATTTATTTTATCAAACTTGATCCATATAATCCCAAAGAAGGTGAACTTACTCTCAAATTCATAGTAATCTGGATCGACTACTTTCAAATATTTTTGGGCAACACGTCGGGCACATTGGTCTTCATCCAAGCGTAGGATACTCTTCAAGAATTCTATCATTTCCTCCTTGTTCTCATGCCACATCGTTGCGCAGGCATATATCCTGGTTACGTGATCGCTGCTTTTCACTGTCGACGGTGGTGTTGTTGAACCGTCCGTCTGCTCGTATATGGTCTCGTAATCTCCGTCTCCCTTTTCCTTCTCTATCTCTGCCAGATCCTGATCAACAAAAATACCTACGTTGTCATGAATGATTCAGATGCTGGTGACGTCCGAAAAAAAATCTTGTAAATTTTCAAATTTTCATATCAAATTTTTGACCACCGCTCCTGTGGCATTTGCCGTGTTCATCGATAACGACTCTTGTTCTAACAAAGGATTAATTAATCCTTTTGTTGCAACACAAAGCTTTTATGTTTCAAAATAGTCGTTTTTGTGTGAAACGTGTACCAAAAAAAATTTTTAACAGTTTTTGATAAAGGCAATTGTAGCGAAAAATTTAAACCGCAAATTACGTTTTACCTCAACTTTCACCTCCGGTTGATCATCTCGCTTCCGATTCAGACCCATCGACTGATCAATCAACAAGGAATTGTACATTGGCACGACGAACAGCTTCTCGGTCGCTGCGAGACGTTCGCATTTCGGTGTCCAAACGTGCAAGGTAATCCACGTTTGTGACAACAACCAGAGCAACCATACCCAGGCATATTGCTTAGACACGAAATCATTGAGGAACGGTGGCGATTCGTAAAACAAATAATCCGGGATAGTGCCACGAAATATGCAAGGATCGCTGTTCCTCAGGCCGCATGCGGCGATCAATAGGGAGATCGATACCGGTATTGTCAGATTCACAGGAAAGGCATAACTAAATCCCTGTATCAGAATTTTGCAAGCGAATTTACCTGGAATAAGGAAACCGTGATTTATGTATCGTTCTTCTTTCAAGATTTATCAAGATTTATCAAGATTTATCTTTCATGATATATTATTAAAATTTGTATTTTTGTTACAACTAATGGGAATAAATCCAATTTTTGAACTAAGAATGATGGATGAAACTTTAAATTTTAAATTGATGTAGTCGATATACGCGACTTACCAAAGACGTACGCGAAATAAGCACCGAATATTTGCAAAAGTAGAACAAAAATCGGAGTTTGGACATCAGCATCGATGGGTATTTTGTCGCTGGTCTCCAATATTTCAGCGATGTCAGTGATTCGAGAAGAGACCACTTGCGATGCTTCGATTTTATGCTTCCCAAAAGCGTCGCTCAACATCGAAAATAAATGTCCCACGGTTTCTCCTTTCATGTATAGTATCAATACAGTGCTGATGAAGAACGCTAAGATCTTCCATATGGACATAAATAGGTAAGTGAAATATCTTGTCAGACGCAGTTCTTTCTTCACCCTTCCTAGAGACTTGACAAATCCTAAAGAATAGAAGAAAACTATGTAAATAATTATTTAATAGTTAAAGTGAAACAATGTTAACTCATCGTAAAGATGAAGAAATTTGTTAAAATAATACTTGTAATTGCAACTATTGTTGGAATAAAAAGAAATAAAGTCGGTCAATCTTTCAGTCCATTGAAATCGTCTATTAAAAAGTACTTTCATAACGATGGTTCTTCAAGGATTATTAAAGTTTCAAATTGATCAAGATGTCCATAATAGTTTATACGACTTCTCCATTCGTTTCTTCAGCACCGTAGACATTTCTTTTCGCAATTTATAACTCTTTTAATTATCTCTCGACAATATTGTGGTTCTTACCGATTGGACTTTGTATCGAAACATAATTTTCCCACCATCCGCAAGAAACCAGGAACAGAGACGGTGGTATGAGCCATAATGATGGTCGAGAACTGTCCAATAATGGCCAAAGGAAGAAACTTGTTCCTTGAGCGGCTAGAGCGGCAATATCGATCAGCACCAGGACAAATCTCTTCGATTCGTCTTTGGTTTTATTGCGAGAGAGAAGCCCTTTAAGAAAAATAAATCCTTTGTATCTTAACACAATCCTGGCTTACTGGTCGTAACAGTTTCGCCTGAGAAACCTTTTTCATTTAATGAACCGCTTTTAATTATTTGGGATGGAATTTAATCATCGAACGGCGGACCATGGAGAGAGCCCCAATTTTAAATTTTGGCATATTGGTATATCGTCTTTAGAATTATTTAAAATTGATAGCTTTCATTGCACAAAATAGTTCTCACTGTGAAAAATATATTTTTTATTTTATTCCCGTTATTATACTATTGTTATAGTTTTATGAATCACCGGGTACACGAGGTATAAATCAACTCGAAAAATTTAAATAAGTGTTTTTATAATAATATATTCCATTCTATTAATTAACTGCTCTTGACCAGAATGAGAATCACCGATGAGCCATAATTTTAATTTAATCCGCTAAAAGAATTCAGAATACCGTGGAGATTGCATCAACAATTCTTTAGATACCTTTACTTTGGCATCTCTTACCTAATAAACCAGGTACGAAGCACACACAGTTCGTCAGCATTGCACCTTTAACCACGTCCAAATCCGGAAGCACTGCTATGAACATTAAAGCAAGACCGACTACGTGAAATGTCTCCATGAAAAAGACGAGAAGGAAATGAGAAGCAGGTGGTTTCTTCCAAGATTTGAATATGCATATTCGAATGCTACGGATCAATGTGCCGAATTCAGGAACTGCAAAGGCGATAATGATACACCAGATCCATGCTATCCTCTCTTCTTCTGGTAATGTAACTATGTATTGCTTGTCTAGATCTGAAACAAACAATTCTCTATTATTTTCTGTTCTGTGCATTAGGGTAACTAATATTTTATTCTAGACTGGATCAGGTCCCTTAGAAATTTAAAGATTTTTTAATCGGACTTTTAGCTCTAATTATTCATTTTCAAATTCAAGCTCCCAATTTTCTATTTTATATCATTAATATGATAATAATTTTATTCAATTCTTTTCTTCTTTAATTTCAAATGTAACAACTCTTCGATCGTAATGACAGTTAATATATTAAATAAATTAAATTAAAAAATTAAAAAACTATCACTTACCCAATTGTTTATTGCAAAGAGCAATCTTTCGATCCGCTTTTAACTGCGATGTCATGAATAGAATCGTTCCTTTGGCAACTACACCGCTTCCTAACACTATCACAAAAACCACTAGATAAACGATCACTTTAGTTACTTGTACCGTCACCTCGAGGCATCTTTGATTAGCCATCGATCCGGAATCAATTTTCGGCGGTGGATTCCGGAACACGTCCCATCCTTTCGTTTCCACGACCGTCCTTTGACTAGAACAAATAGAAATAAATTTTCAATCGTAACCATTGAGTAACTCTTTATCCATCAAATGAAAACTTAAAAGTTTGCAAAATTTTCTGCTCCTACAGCTCAGTCCGCGGCAATTATTGTATTTTCCTGTTCGATTGGCGTTCGGAAATAATCTTCTGTCTCACCTCATCCGTTCCCTTAGAGCAGCAAGCACAGAACTAATAAACTTTTGCGACTAATTCATATCAGTTCGATGATATCCACGGCCGGCGTAATCAATAATCGCGTTATTAAATGTGATTAATATCGGCTTTAGAAAAAGGCAGGGTCGAACTTTCCAAGGCGACGAACATCTAAAGACATCTTAAATCTAATTTTAACAAACAGTTAATAAAATGGGCCAGCTTCGAACTGGAAAAATGTTACATGCTTTAATTGAGCAATTAAATTAGGGAGAGTAACAGATACAATACAGCCGACCCTGAACTGTTTTCCAATTTTCTTCCCAATTTGCTTACTAGACTTTATTAAGATTTATACCTATAACTTTCAAAATTTTGTATCTATAAAACTTTGAATTATTCAAAAATATTTGGAAAGAAAAGGATTAAAACGAAACAAAATCGATGGAATGCGAAGTGGTTTAGTCGACATGAGAAACGACCGAACCTCGTTAGTTTCTTTTTATCAGAAAAGAAGCTCAACGATTGCCAATGTCATGGTTGTTTCGCGCGGACACACGTGACACATACCTGTCGCCATAATCTTGAGTCAATGGGGTACTCTCGCCGTCCGAAAAGTCATCCGCACCAGCAATCGCCCCACCGCCTGGTATCATTCCATTTTGTTGCTGATTTTTCGACATTCTGTCGATACAAAAAATAGAAATTATATTAAAAATATGGTAACCGTGTAGAATCGCATTTACTTACACATAATTCAGGACAAGGTATCAATTATAAATTATAAAGCGTGAGATTAGTTTTCATTGCCAATATCAAAGACGATATGACTTCTAATATGAAATGATTCGAAAGCAAAAGAAGATTAGATAAGATTCATTATAGAATAGATAACTATCATTTTTGTAATCCAATAATCTGCTATCGCTATGAAATAATACTATTAAAATTGTATATACAGCTAATTTATAGAAAGTGAAAACAATACGCTTTATGATCCTTTATTAAATTCTTTGATACTTCATATTGAAGAAACTTTCGTATTTTAAATTCTTTTGATTATATGAATAATTCAATGGGAAACGTAATATAGGATTGTTTGGAGGAATAAGAAGTAGAGCAGAAAACATAAATTCTCGTTCGTACGAAGTTACTTTCCACATATTAGAAAGGTTCAGCTAACAAATACTGGCACGGCGGTAAATCATCGTCATAAAATAAATATTAAATTGCTGTGATCAACGCACGTTCAGAGAATGCTCGATCATGCTATTTCTCTTAAATGATATACTTAGGGACACTTTTATAAAAAAAAGAATTTATTTTTTCTCAGTCTAAAGAATTAATAAAAGAATTTTAATTTCAATTTTAATTTCAAATTAAATTCTACAGATGTTCTAAATACGACAATGAGACAATAAATGAATTCTGAATAATTTTGCTGATAAATTTGAAGATCACCAGACTTTAACCCAATTGTGTACATACATTTATCTAGAAATCATCGATAAAATGTAGTTTAATGCAGAAAAAAAAAATAGCAACGTAAGAGTAGAAAACGATAAGAAAGCAGGTACGTAGAACGCGTCTTTTGGTGTACAAAAAAGAAAGTTGAGCAATGAAAAGAAACTCCAGTTGCAAGCACAACGTAACTATCGAAGCAAAAGGTAGGAATTGTCCGTAAAACTGATGAATTATCGTATTTCTATGGCTTGTTGGAGGTAAAATTCTATTCGACAAAATAAATACCAACGATGAAGCAAAAGCTATGTAACGGATCAGTTGCTTAGACTTTCTAAGTTTGTTGTTGATCGCCAGGTTTAACAAGTTGCTTTCCACCGACTAACTAGTACGGTCATGGTGTCTTTTTTTTCGTGGAAAAATCTGTCCTGATAGGTGACTGCACCACTATTGCGAAAAGGTCCACTGGGTAAGTTAATTAGTGATTCGTCGAGAGTGGATGTAATAAGTTCCAGATCTAGCTCTTTGCAATTATGTGTTTTATTACCTCCATGGAATTCAAGTTGATAAATTGAAACATGTGTATATAAATGATTGAATAGCAGTTGTTTTCTATAGAAACTTTATATTTAGAATAATGGAACTTGAGTCAATCATGACCCAGACCATAATTTTCGAAGACTGCAATAGGATTAACAAACGTACATATGCAACCATTTCCGTGAAACTTAATTGTGGGACGTAAAGGAGGGAATGGCGATTAAGCGATGAAATAGGGCAGAATGAAGAAAAAGAAGGAGGTGGAGGCGAGACTAGATCTCTTCATGGTGTTTCGATCTCGGCTGGACAAGACGAGAAGGCGAAGGCGTATCTTTGTTCGTAGAGGTCTGGGCTTTCTGGTTCCTGGACAATGAAAGTGAAAGGGAACGAACCGTGAAAGATAACATAGCAAGGACGTCCACTGCAACTCGCCATGTCGGTTGCTGCCCTCGAGGCACGTCACGGATTCGTTCATTCCACCGTTTCACCCTCTCGACACCGCTTACTACACTTCTCTTTGTATTCCCTGTTTGTATCGATACTCTTTCCACCTCGCCCTTTTTTCTCGGGAGAACCTTTCAAAGCTGGATTTAATTTGCATAAATTGACTCGAGCATTTGTGCAAGTAGAAATTTGATGTTTGGGCGAGCCGACAAGTTTCACTTGAATAAAATCTCTTCTACTGGATAATTTGCATTATGTTGGTAAATAACTGATATTATTGGAAGTAGAGGTGGATAGGGTTCAACGTGTACATTGGAAGGCAACGTAAGCTTCATTTGGGATTAAGTAAACGAAGGGAAGAAATCTCCTACCACTTGCCTTGGGGGAACCTAGGTAAAATATAGGGAGATCCTAGGGAGAATCTAATATTTTAAAGAGATTCTAAGTAGAGTCTTGGGAGAGCCTTGGGAAAACCTAAGAAAGATTTAAAGTAAGCCTAGGAAGAGGGAACCCAAAATGACCTAAGCCTTCCACCCCCCCTGCACTTCCTACTCGCTAAAGAAACTTGTGATCAATTATCTCAATTTTTGCAAATTACATAAGGTGTACCTTCAACTTTAATCTTATATCAAGGTGACAGATAATGCTTTAATAATATCTTCAATGCTAAATGGATTACTGCCTCTTCTTCTTCTTCTTTTTTCAAGTTACTTCTGAACCAATAATGATGATTGAAGATGAAAGGGATGTTCACGAGTCTCTGCACCTTTGTTCTTTATTCTCTTCTTTAAACTCGTTCTGATTCTGACTCGCTGGAAGGTCATACTTTTGTGGTTTCAACATCGCGTTTCTTTTTCAATGCGTATAATTTGTGAAAGTGAATCGTTCATTGAATTGGAAAGAAATATCGAGCGTTTGATAGTGGACCAACCAAACTCGTTATTAAATATCAATAGTCGAGTTTAGATGAATTTTGTAAATATATTTTTAAGATCGTGTTACTCTTGTAGGATGAAAATTGAATTAGTATACGTAATTACAAAATACTATGAAAATGTAATTTTTTTAATAAAGTGATAAAAGTATATTTGACTCTAAAGCACCTCGCTCGAGGTAACTATTTTCATGTGCTAGTAAAACGTTCTCTCGATTCAATATCAAGAAATCGTCCTTGGAATAGCAGAGCAGCGTCGAAAGTCTCAAGGGATATTCGTTAAAACACGAAGAGAACGTATCTCGCGAAGCTTATCAAGTATCACGATATGGTCTATTCTTCTACTATTTTATTTCCATCGTAATTTACGCTCGTATGCATAAATGTCCCCGGCATGGTCGTTGGAATACCACGAGTTTACACGGTCCAGTATTATAGTGTTTCTACTCCCTAGGCTACCACTTTTCGTCGTCTTAAGGCCGTTGTCCTATGAGTCATTGTCCATGGAATTGTTTGAACACCTCTGTGTTCTTTAACCCTTTCGCGAAGCCAACCTACCTCGTTCATTCACTCTTCTCTATATTTAACGAGGAATTTAGTGGCTGAATATTTTTAGAAGGTAAACCTTCCCCCTTTGGTTACCTGTTTGGCTAGATTGTTACCTTTCTTTTTTCGTTTGTTTAACCCTTGAACGGCGGAGATCCAAGCTTACAAAACAGACATAAGGATATTAGCCTAAACTTTACAAAATTCATAATCATTAACCTTTCTTAAAATATGTAAAATTTGGCATAAATGTTTATAAAACACCTATTAAAGGAGACAAGAATTTTAAATACTTTTTGAATTTTTCAGAATATTAGAAACAAAAGATTGTGAATATTTTAATATTGATCGATACAAAGTGAGAAATTCTGAATAATTCTAAAGATTATTAATCATCAATAGGGTCATTAAATAGATAATTAAGTTTTATGATCCGCTTTCTTATGATAAGTTTTATGATTATACTTTTATTTCAAAATTTGGAAATATACTTTCAGTTCTCTTTTATCTCTTTCAAAGACGGAATTCATAAATGTGTTATATAAATAAATATTAATATGATTCTGTATAATTCTGTCTCTAGTCAGGTAATTTGTACAAAACCAAAATAGTCAGTAAAATTTGTTCACTTTTGCCCTTTTTCTTTAATTCATTTCTGAACCAGTTTCTGAACCAAAGAGGTCCTCGAAGATTTGATAATCCGGGCTCCAGAAATTTTAATTCTGTCATAAATCGAAGGATAAAGAAGAAAGTCAAATGTAACACAGTTTCTCAACAATTTCTCTTAAAATGGTCGCCTAACTGTTACGATCAAACTCTTTCCAACCCGTGCCCTAATTTCTCCGCTGATACTCGACGTCATCGAACTCTTTCTTTTTCTATCCAATGATTATTTCTCTCCTTGCAACAACATTCGTTCAACAACTTGCAATTCACTAATTGAAAAACATTCTTTGAAATCATTTTTATCAAACAAATGCCGTGGATCTTCGATCGGTTATAATGCTTGCTTGTAGGAGGCATTCGATTATTCAGCAGAAAAAGATAACGGTACTGCTTCCTTGTGGCAGTGACACCGATGACAACGATTTAAATGTCGTGCTACACCTACCGATCGAATAGAATGCGTACAATAGAGTTTTATAAAAACAGTTCGCTTCGAACAAATGAAATCAACCAATTAATTATTTCAATGTCAATTTTATTGGTTATACAAAGGACACATTTCATTTTGATTGCAGCTTTTATTTGTCCTTGTTATCGATGATAACGGTGTTAACTTGTAGGTGCTGCTATATAAAGATTGCTTGTTTGCACAGATTACTGATTACGAGAAAATTTCACGGTTTAATTGGTATCTGGCGAAAGTGGTTTCGTTAAAAAGTAACTGGTTACACGTATTCTAAATTTTGCATATTTTTGTATTAATTTAATCCCTGTACAATTCCGAGCATGGAGAACCAAAAACATATGGTGGTATAGGGGAGGGAGACATCACCACTCGTTATACATAAAAATATTAAAATTCACAAAATTCTAATTTAGAAAATATCATATTTTTTTGTATTAAAAGTTGATAAGGAGTAAAATGCTTTGGTATTGAAGACAAGAGGAAATTATTTGAAGTAAATTTTAAATATTTATAAATTTCTATTTTGGAAGAGATACGCTTTTGAATCTATATTTAGATGACTTTTTCTAAAATTTGGCCATCTATTTTCTTGCCACCTTGTACGATTCGAAACCGGAACTGGATTGTCCTACGAGCAACAGCCTTCACCCCAGCCTTGGAGGATAGAAAAAATAAAGTCAAATGATTCGGGTGGAATTTCAGCGATTTGCACACAGATGAATCACAGGACGAAGAAAAGGGAGACAGTTTCGACGAAAAAATGCAGTAATAGGGAGAAAGGAATGGCCTTGCATCGGAGGATATTTCGAATTGATTCGACGCTGAGAGCACGTATGTAAGTACCTACAAAGACGAACATATACCATGATTAACCGGTTTCAAGCATCGTTATTTCTTTGTGAATCAACATTTTTCCCGCGTATCCGCCACCATGCTTCCTTCTTTATCCTAACACACTAATGGGTTACTGTGTCTCTGGGTGCAACGCGTGATTCCCACGCCATGTGATTCACCTGTCACTTTGTCATCTTCGATCTACCGTCTTAAAGGGTCAGGCTGCCTTGACCAATTCCGAAAGTACACTATTTCTGCACCATATGTTGAATTTTATACCGTTTAATTTTGTCTAATGACATTCTTTTCTATCTTCTATCATTTCGAAAATTTAACTTGACCCCGTTACATGGAACACCCTGTATACCTGCGTATGCATTTCCTGATTTTTTTGATTCACATTTTTTTGTAAAATTTTAAATAGTTTGATAGCTTGTTTTAAGTATATACAATTACGAATACGATTACTAATTCAATGTGATGTCATGAATAACGTAATCTATTACTAGAGATGCTGAATATGTACATGTAATTTAAGTGTGAGAAAGAAAAGGTTTCTTGCTTCAAATTTATTGCCGTCGATTAAACGATTGATTTTTTATAATGTTAACACGTTATGAGTAAATATTATACGATCAGAAATGTTAGTTTATTTTTTTGACAAACTATGCACTTTAAACAATAATCTAAAAATTATATCTCAGTTCTATTACATTTCAAACTAAAATACACTTCTGATCATAATCGCTTAATCTTAATCCATCTTCAGTAACCTTCTTTAGATTATGAAAGAGGAAATACAATTCCCGGAATGATCAATAAGAAGACGATAACAGCCAGTGTTAAAGTGAAGTAATATTGAAAGGTGTCCTAGATCCATTGCCGATGGATGTATCGCATTTCAATGAAAAAATTCGATGTAATTAGATACAATTTTCATTCTCAAATCACTACATTCTCTGCAATGATACTATCGAAGTTACTGAACCTTCAATGACGAGAAATAACAGCCTTCTGAGACTAAGAAACTTCTATGACATTACAAAATATTGTATTAATTATTTTGTTTTAAAATCATAGAATTTAAAATTATTACTTCTAATTAGTCGATCTAATGTCATCTAGAATTAAATCGTAATGTGCTTTCCAAGAAATTGCAACTAACATTGTTTACTGAACTTTTGATAACAGATAACCATTATAAACGACCATCATTTCAGTCTTCATAAATAGTACTCGTCGACAACCTGGATAATTAATTGTATTTCTCAGTCATCCAAAAAACCGAAACATCCAGATTAGAATTCTGGTCCAACAATGCCATCATCAGAATAACTTTTTCTCTTCTTGATTGTGTAATTTTAATCGGTATATTTATTTGTTGTGACAAGATAACTAGGATAACACGATAACTAACAGGGTTTTTACAGATATAAGTCAAGTTTGTGTATAATGACCTTCGGTAAATATTAAACAACTGATTGTTAATAGAATTAAAAATCGGACGAACATGTTCTGTTAGATTTATTACTTATAATTCGTGTGATAAAGAGATAATAAGAATTGTTGTTAAAAAGAAAAGCTTCGTTTGATGATAAGGGCTTTTTCTGGAATGACTTCAGTCATGCAGTAAATGAATCAGTTTCATTACGCAATTTAAGTATTTCATAACTGGAATGTCATCTTTTTTAATATTTTTCATATTTAAAATTTTCCAGATGTTTCATAACTAAGGTACAATTATTGTAAATATTTGTTCATTATTTAAATTAATTATTTTCTGATACTAATTTCCCTACAATGTATCATTTGAATCCAATATTTAAAACGTGATTTCAAAAACGTGATTTCCCAATTGTAATGACAATTCTGACTGACAGAAGCACTTGTGACAACACCACTGCGTAACAGATGTTATCAATTATTTGTTCAATCACTTCGTTTTAATACATTATACTATAACCATCATCAAGTATTTGCTGTACCAAAAATCATCTAACAATTATACAATTTTCAATAAACAATAACTATGTATTCTATGAATATAATTCCAATTATTGTTAATGAACAATCAAAATGAACGAATTAAACAAATATTAAATATTGTCAATGAATAATGATTGGGAATCACTTTCTTAACAGCTGACGATTATGCAATATGCAATCAAAAAAGCATAGTAATCATGCAACAGGTTCTGATTAAAGAGTCGAATAAAAAGAATGGTACTTTCTAAGCCAATTAGATTGTCGACAAGGATGAAAGAAGATGATGGACGAAAGTGAGCAAAAGAAACAACACGGACAACGTCACATCGTCCTATAAATATCTAATTTCCACCTCACGCCCTCGTCTGTTTTGCAATACCGTTATAAGTACGTTCGAATGTTGTCTTGTAAAACGATCAATGAAATCTTCTTGATAGACAAACCACTGCTCGTCTTGGCATAGAAATCACGCGTTCTCATTATTAAGCAGGGAAAGCCGGGGCATATGTTGTTACATGATTAATCAATGAATTCGCTGAATTTTCTAGGAATTTCCACTAGAATACGTGATTATTATCACGAAATTCTTTCACTTTCCTCATTTTCTCTCCACTTTATCTTTTCTTCATTAGCCGCTCGTCTAATCTAATCTAATCGAATCTAGTCTGGACGAAATTTTTAATCAGCCCCTCTGAATTCGTTATAAAATTAACTCGGTATCACCGGTGACAGATTGAGTAGTAAATAAATAATTAGCCTCACATGTAATACAAAAAATATTTATGATACCAAATACCACGAATCTATGGAATTACCAAATGGTTCGATAACCCCGGTACTTGAAGTAAAAACAGCTGTCATCGCGATGGGATAGGATCGGTAGCGATCGGATCGGATCATTCACGAAATTACGAAACCTCGTGGCTTCGATGCACAATAGAAAGTCAACGTTCATAGCCGAGTAACGTTCCCCAGAAAGAAACTATCCCTTCCATATCGGTGGAACGTAGCACAAAGTTTCGTGTCTGAAGAAACGGTGAAACAATTCGACCCAGAATCCATCCATCAGTGTTTACCTGGTTAATACGAGCCAGGATTTATCCCGAAAACACAAGCGATCCCACACTTTCTCCGCGCATAACTGAAGGAAAAACCTCGGCACGTACCTGTCGGACGAAAGTGAAATCTCCTTCGGGCACCGGAAAACCGATGGAACCTTAGGATTCGTCTAAAAGGTGAACGACACGTATCCCGAAACCACGACGATGCTTTTTGCCACCCTGGTACCACTGGTTTTCCTCTTCGGATCTCATGGAAACGTAATTTCCCGGAGGGGAACAGCAACCATCTGTACGCGCGGTTGCATTAGAAACGATTACACGATCGACACGAACTCAGAAGAATATTCGTACGCGCGAAAATCGCTGGCAGAGGATCGTTTCAGTCGGTCGATGACCAAGGATGTTCGTAATCGGCCAGGTGAAAGCCGTTTAGGTGAGCGGCGAACCAACGACTGGCTTAGCCACGATCTACCAGAGGTACCAGAAGCGATTCAGAATCCCCTCTTGCCTTCCATTCCTGTAGAACTTTCACGACACACGGATAGAGAGCGAGTCTCTCTTTTACTCTTTCCTTCCACGCACGATTTTTAACGGTCTCTCTTCGTCCGTCAACCGAGCCACTGTCCCTTCGACGATTTTTGATGTCAAACCCGGAGACCAGTACCGAGAGACGCGTGGAAGAATGGCCGATCTATTGGCCGGAATTCCAGCCCCTTGCGAAATCATCGGGCTAGCAGGAAATCTACGCTATGTCCGGTTTAACCGTCTAATTAATGAAAATTTCAGCTGATATTTCACATGAAAGTTGTTTTATTTAATAAGGTAAACTCCATGGGGTTAGTTCAGTCAGGAAAAGAATACCATTTTTGTGAACTTTCGTGAAAATCATTTTGCAATAATTCTTTGGGTATGCGAAAGATCATAACTGAAAATTATTAAATATGATAATATTTATGCTTTTTACCTTTATATATGAACAACGAAGAAATATAAAAATATTCTGGTGCCACTGAATCAATTTAAGGAAATTTTTATGGGACACCTCTCTGCAGTTTCAAAGTTGTCCAAATGTTGGACCGTAGTTCATGTCCGATGTATCACTGAAGAATTCCGCAACGTTAACGTTCTTTTCTCAAGGGTGATCTTGCGAAACTTTTAATATGACGTGAAAGACACGAGTCAATAGAAATCATAGCTAGAACTATTTCACTGGAATAGCTGACCAAACTATCCTATCAACAGCCTTGTACGTGCATCAATCATTATCTTCACTGTGCGTCAGATCGTTATCGAATTTTTAATCAATCGTTGATATCATGTACGTTCAAGTACACGCACTATGAAAAGTTCACCTTCATCTCGATAACGAAATAAAATAAAAATGAAAATTTTTGGAAAATTTAATTCCTAACTTTAGTTCTTATTTATAGATAGTAGGTATTATCTAAAAATTTAATCAATAAAATTCATTTTCTTTTTTTTTTTTGTTTCAAATATTTAGATAGATTTGAATGTATTGGATTTGCATATTGCGGTATAAGTTACCAACCACGTAATTAATTGTGCGTGTAACGAAGGCGTCGATCTGAATTGCAGTCGACCTGAACTAAACGCCTTCACTGTTTCCGAGCACTGCATTTATCTCGAAGGTCGTATTCCAACTCCTTACAAAGAGTCCTGCAAAGATTTAGTTTTATTAAATATACTTTTATAAATAATATAGTTCAGAAACTAGGTTTTTGAATACTGAATCTTAGAACATGTTCTACCAGGCATTGATGTCTCTGTGGTCTTAAAAAGATCTGGTTCAATTAAAATAGAATGTCAAATATGAAAATTTTCGTTAAATTAATATGAAAATATAACATTAATTAAATACATATAATATTATAAAAAAGAATTATTTTTACAATTGTGTATAAAAGTAATAAAATAAATCATTATGAAAAAAAAATACTATGTAACCTGAAAGAAATGATAAATTAATTATAATAACCTGTTTTTTCTCAAATTAAATTGAATAAATATTTTAGAAAACATTGTGTCAGTTACATTTTTTTCTAAATGGTTGTAATATGCAATTTTGTCTCACAGATTATAGTTCTCCAATATGGCAGCATATCCCCTGTGCAACCACATAATCATTACACCAGCATTTACCAATAGATGGCGGGTCATCACTAATACAGGGTTCTAATAAGAACGAATGTTTATATCCTTATCTTGTCAATTAACAGTTGTCTACTTTTATCTGAAAAAAGACAATTCAATTCATGGATTATTAATAGATACATACTACTTTGCTATTTATATTACCAAGTTCATTCACAATCACTTTGATTTATATTTTCCTATCATATTCTATTTTTAAAATAAAAATATGAGATTTGTTTACAATTTTTGTAAGACAATAATTTGTTACTTATGTCATTATTTATCACAGTTTTAAAAATAAATATTTAATCGTTTCATATCTAATCCCTTTTTAATTTATATACCTTCCTCTGCTCTTATACAATTTTGAAATCAATTTCTTAAAGGTATTGTAAGTAACTATTTACTTCCTTTATATTTTGATATTAGATTACTAATTAACAAAACTATTTCAATTAAATTTGATTATTATATCTATTATTTACTCTAAAAAAGAAGATATTTAATCAAGAAAAAAGATACAAAATTCATAATATAAAATACATCTGAATTCTTCGATCAATATTTGCTGCCACTGATAAATATTATCTTTAATTTTCTTATTGATTCTTCCTATAGTAACATGCATTCTAATACACTATAGAACATTGAATAAAAGAAAATTCACTACAACATAAACGAGTAAAAAATGATAACTTTTATCAAAGATACGAGTTCATTGTTTGCTTCTGCTATGATAATGAATAAAAACATCAAAACTTCATTTACAAATCTGCATGGTGTTTGCTCAAGAATGACTATGACCACCATGTCCTCATAATTTTATTACAGGTCAGATTTTATAACAGGAAACCAGATATAAAGACCATTATTCCCATTGTTAGACGGTTATCTTTCCTATAAGGCAGACTGTTAGACGTGACAAAAGATGATTAACTCCATACTGCTGAATCATCTCAACCTCTCAGAATTTCTAAAACATTGCTTTTAAAATTATTGCATTTTCTTTTCTCATAAGTTCCATTTGAGAATTAAAATATTTGACAAAATAAATATTAAAAAATGTCATTACAAAGTCCGAAACTGATGAGTTAATATTAATTTCAGTTCATACAAACTAGGACAATTATGTAAACTATTTATTAAGCGAATTCATTTTTAAATTCCGGAAGTTGATAGCGATAACCATATGATACCCAGTTAAACAATTTTGCGTAAACATGTTGTTCATATTCGAACAATAAATAGTAAATTATCAAATAACAGATTAGTGCAACTAAGACTTTTGCCAGATAGGAACAAATGTCATTAAGAAAAATTAAACGACGTTGAATGAAGCATCGTATGACACATATATCGGTACCGGAAGTGGAGGCATTTCGAAGATTTCAAGACCAATTTCATTTTTTTAAACAAGACTCTCATGATTGAAAAATTGATTTGAAAAATTTTTTAAAAGGTTTAAATATTTCGAACTGTAATTTATCACACGAATCTATGCATCAGATGCAGTGTACCCCACTGCTGACACTATAGATTCAGCAAAAAGTCCAAACCAACCGCAAACCACTGTTGCAATTACATAATCAGAAGAGACGAGGGCGTGAAAACTAGCTGCCGGTGCATGTGCACTCGCAAAAGCTAGCACGAGTCGTATGACATGACCCGAAAGAAAGAAAAGCGAGCAACTTTTCAGCGACACGATCAGCTGAAAAATTCGATAAGCATTATAAGAGACCGAGTGTTTGTACTCTTCCCGATTCGTACGATGGGTCAGTTACGGTTCGTATCTCGTCGAGCGTAAACGTTTACTACCTACCGCGTCTAACGTTCTCTAATCGATCTAATTTAAATTTCATTAGAAAATTATATCTAGAATTGTGTCTCGTATCCAGTTTCAATTTTTTCACCTCTGATTTCGGGGACATTTGTAAGAAATCTGTTTGAGTTATTCAAATTTTTGCCTGGCTAAATTCCTTCTGGACGGTTAAACTTGTATGGAACGTCTGGAAAGGACAGATTGCTGAGGTTTATTGAACATGAAATGATAGATCGTTTCGAGTGGTTGGTTTAGGAAAAATGGAGAAGGAAAGTGTGGCAAGTGGAAAGATTGTGGGCGATGAAAATTCGATCAAAGTTACAAAAGATGTAAAAAACAATGGTGAGTATTTTAATTGAGGATGTTATTAACGGTTTAACTACCATTGTGAAAATGATCCTGTTTAATATGGCATTTTTTTAATTAATATCTTTCAATTGTTAGATTATATAAAAATGGTAGGAATTAGCAATTTTGAATTTTCCACTTGCTGTCTTACAAAATTAATTCTGTAATATTTCTTTCTTATAAGTATTTATCTTTGTATTGTTTTTCTATTTAACCGAACTAGTGTTTCGAACTTAAATATTTTAATATTAAATATTAAAGCTAAGAAAACTTTTTTCAGAAGAAACGGATACCATGAAGTATAAAGAAAACAGAATGCGTGATATAATCAGCAATGGATTACAAGAACAAATGAAGGTACCAAAATACAGTAATTATATTTAATAAAAAATAAATAAATACCATTAAATAAGTTAACAAAGAAAGAAATTATTTTCCACGACATTCTTGCCTAGATATTAATCATTTGCCTGTTAAAGAAATAAAATGATCCAAAGATAAGATTGGGTGTTTCAAGTTTCAGAAAATAAATTGGAAACATTCTTCATAGAGATTGATCAAGATCGATCAATAAATATCATTTCGTTGTTTTCTTTTATAGGAAATCATGCAAGATGTTTTGGAGCTTGTTAATAACCGAATGAACAACATGGTATCAGACATATTACAAAAAGTGGACAAAATGGCATCAAACGAATTAAAAGATCTCGTTGATTCAGAGACTTACTGCAATAGAACGTAATTATGTATATAATATCTTTCTGAAGGATTGATATTATCATATTTTACCCTCGGATAATTTAAAAATCTTTTTTTCTGTAACCTTCTATTAATTATCTGCTTGTTTGGTAATTGAACTCTTTCGATAATTATAGCAATACAAGTATACTTATAGATTTGAATATTATTCATTTTCTTTGTACAAAATTAACTAACAATTATAAAATTATTATTTCGCACTAAGCTTTAGGCACCAGATCGAGATTTCTTGAAAGATTGCTTGAATACGCGTGTACTTAACTGCTTTGACCCAATTTAACGAAATTACCTTCAAAATTGTTGTGTTTGTATATAATACACAGGATGTACCGATATTTCTGATACGAATAACATACCAGAAATAATTTTGAACAGTGATTTAAATGATCAATAACATCGATAAAATTTCAAAACGAAATATTAAAGCTTCTTATTTATTATCTCCCATCATACGCATTATAAATGAACACGATAAAAGTACGCAGTACAATTCGTTCAGTTTAAGTGCACGTGTACTCAAATGTCCGAAGTTGCTGTCCAAACTCCAAAGTTTGAAAAGTTCTAATCATGTTCTCTAGGAAAAAGACGAGAGAAGACACTCTGTCATCAAAACAATTCTTGCAAAGGAATTCTCTGTTGACCGACCTCTATGAAATCAAACATATTCGAGCGATTTATAACTTCAGCCTAGCAGCTTTGATAGTTTTGATTATACACACTACCGTACACGATATTCGAAACACCGGCTCGTAAGTACAGATGTACCAAGTTTCTTTTAATCTGTCGAAATTGCTCGGTCGCTTTACAACCTTGGGGAAACAATAAAAAAAAGAAACAAATTTACAGCGACCATTGCTAAAAACATTAGAAGTCAAGTAAAAAATGTTAATATATAAATGGCCCCTCGAAGCCTCGAAGGGCAAATGAAAAATCAGTAAATAATTATAAAAGTGACTATTAAAGCTTTAAGTTTCAAATTTCATTTTAAAAATATAATGAAAATATAATTTATTATTCTAGACCCAACTTCGCCATAGACACGATAAAAGCTGGCTTCGCCAAATTGTCACTGGTATTTTACATATGGTCCCTCATGAAAATTTCAACTTTAGGGATTTACGTAGCTTTCTGTTACTGGGCAACCAATCGTCTCGAATATGTGCCACAATGTAAGTTAAATCAAATACACTCTTCCTCATGGATAACCCAAGGAAGAATGACAACGTGGAGGAGGGATCCCATGTGTATACAAGGCCTGACTCCCACCACTTTTAATATTAATCAACATCAGGAATTTTATTTTAATATTAGTCAAAATTAAAATTTTAAAATTTTAAGAATTCGTACTTCCCCTACATTGTCATTTACTCTAAGGAAGCCTGATTTTGTCGTGAGCGTACCTCCAATGTAAGCTCTAATGAATTAAAATATTCTTTATAGCATTTACCAGAAAACTTTGGGATTATATATGGCTAGGAATTTTGATTCTTTACCAAATCGTATTTGGTGCACTTCCTGCAAAAGCAGTAGTCGACCACGATTTTCCATTAGCTTCCAGTATGATCATACTTATGGAACAAGTAAGCTAAAAATAATTATTTCTTTTCGTTAATAATAAGATGACTTCACAGAAATTACTAACAAATAAATATACTATTTTATATGTTAATTAGGTTCGTATGATAATGAAAACTCACGCATTCGTAAGAAGCGTAGCACCAAGATTTTTATCTTACAAACCTCACTCGGAAATGCCAGCTCCAAAATCACCTGATTTTTCAAACTTCCTTTACTTCATGTTTGCACCGACTTTAATTTACCAGGACAGCTATCCTAGGTAACTATAACATTTAATGTCGTATTAAAATAATTTTAATATTTATTTGTTTTTTAAAAATATTATTTCGTTTACTCTTCTTGTCTCATAATAATAAAATTAAGTGTCCTGTACACGTAATTATGACACGTGATTATTGTAAGTAAAATAACGATGCATTTGAGATACAAGCACTTGACACATACATATTGACGTATAACTTGTTCAAATATCTCTCAAGATATTACAAACGCACATGTGGTGTTACCGCATATTATACGTCTAAATATTAATCTACACATCGTGTTATCGATAATGGTCAATACTCGAAACGCACGTGGCAATTAATCATTTCTTCCAATCATTATAATATTTCATTTTCAAATTCTTATAAATCTGATTTTCTACGAATGTTTCTCCATATCTATTTAGGTCAAAGAAAATTCGCTGGAACATCGTTGTCACGAATTTCGCTGAAGTAGTGACGATTGTCTTCTTTGTGGGATTTATCTACGAACGTCTACTCTATCCCCTTTACCGAGATTTTGGAAAAGAACCAATAGAAATGGGAATGGTATATATGAATATCCTCAGCTCAATGCTACCTGGTCTTCTTATGTTTCTCTGCGGATTTTATTGTCTCTTCCATTGTTGGTTGAACGCTTTTGCTGAACTCTTACGATTTGCCGACAAAATGTTTTATAAGGTAAGTAATATGAAAATATCATGGAACATGTGTAATAGTATTAATATTATACTAGTGATAGTATAATTCTGTTACGAAACTATAAGCAACACTCATGGAATTGAGTAACGGAAGTGGCTCAATGAAACCGAATGAATCATTAATACTTTTACACACAATCATTTCCACTCAATTTCATCATCATTTCTCCCAGCCTTTATACGTACTTTCTTATGATACATTCCATATAACGTAACGTTTCAAGGACCATTTTACGTGTCCATTTACACGTTAACGAAATACTAACATAATCACTCATTAATTTACAGGATTGGTGGACTTCAATTTCCTACAGTGCCTACTATCGCACCTGGAATATCGTAGTCCACGACTGGTTGTACACCTACATCTACAAGGACATGTACCAGATTCTAACACCAGGAAACCGGAAGTTATCGATGTGCGCAGTATTCGCCATCTCTGCACTCTTCCACGAGTACATCATTTGCTTTTCAATTCGATTCTTTTATCCTGTAATGTTGATTCTCTTCGGTGTTATCGGTGTTGCCGCGGTGTTTCTATTGAAAAGAGCGGGAAACCTGTTCTTCCTCTTCAGTTTGTTTGTTGGCAGCGGATTATTAGTCAGCTTGTACTGCATGGAGTACTTCGCGAGGGTCAATTGCCCTCCGTACCGTGAAGATTTCTGGGATTACATGATTCCAAGAACCTGGACGTGTATTATCCATAGAAATGAAACAGAGGATATGACAGTTTAATCTGAACTTTTAAAAATTTTTCGTATAGGGGATGGAGATCGTTTCCTATGCATATCCGAAAGACTGAAAAATGCGGTATGTCATTTAAAGAATGTCAATCTCCGTTGACGGATGATTTAAATAACGTTCAACTTATAGATATAATTGGAAGTCCTATACTGCGCTGTGAATCAAAGACTGGTTTAACGAAGATATACGAATAAACAATGATCTGTTCCATCACTTTTTATTTATTATTTTTCTCTTCCCATTCCTTTTCTCTTCTTCCGCAAATTTACAATTAAATCGAAAAAAACGCGGATGACGATTCTGAAAAAAGACATTGTCTTTATTATCAAGGCTTACATACGTGTCTTGAAAATTCAAAGACACTCGTCGTCAGTAATTATTTATAATATATATAATCGTATGTATATATCTTCTTTCTCTATACAAGTCGATGCTTAAATGTACATACACGCGCTAATACGATTACATTTATACATAATTTCGTTCATAGATTTGTAACTCTCATAGAGAAATAAATGTATTCCATCGGTTGCATGAAATTTCACCGAATTTCACGCAACATCTATTCTAAGATCCCATCCCATTTTATCTCTCTGTACAATTGTATCTCTTCTTTCCTATTCTTTCAACGAGAAAATTAAAACACGTCAATTTGAATATCAGAGAAATTGAAGACACCGGTGGTTAACAGTTTCATATTAATTTTTTTTTATAATTGAGTTTCGGGTGTTATAGCACTACATATGTTTAGAAATTTTGAAAAAGTAATAATATTCTTTTGAATTGTTTGAAATTTTTTATTTAAAAAAAACAACTCAAAAATCAATTTATTATTAGTGTCTTCAATTATAATCAAAAATCTCTAGCAGATCTTATTGTTAAACCTAATTTAAAAAAAAGGGCTAACGTTCTATAAAACAAAACGAAATGGTAAGTGTAAATTCTAAAGAAAAAAAGAATCTATACGAGCAAAAATAAGAAAGTCCAAAAATGTTAATGCAACATTGAAATTTTGTATTCGATGGGAAAGCAAAATTTGTACAATTCGTAATAAATAATTAGAAAATACGATTCAGTAATCACTCTTCCTTATTTCTCATTAAAGTCTTTATCAGCTACAATCTTTGTCACTCTTTAATTACTACTAGCATGGTTCACAGAGGTGTAAACCTGTCTTCAATTCTATGTACACGATCGTGAGTATTGAAAAAATAAATCATATTCTTCCCCGGGGAGCACCAGACAATTTTCTTACTAGAGAAATCTTTACGTCGAAGCACGGTATTGCCTACGATACGGTACTCCCGTTAGAAAATACAATTTTTATCAATTTACACGTGAAAAGTAATGATACGTAATCATTGATGGTAATTCATTTAATATTCAACAACAGACATATAACTCCCTTTATTCGTCTACTCTCGTGCCTGTTCCTTTTCATTATATCTGATTTAAGCATCGAACAACTCGTTCAATTCTTAAACCAAAACATTTTCATCTAATTTGTACAAAGATAGCTTATCAATTTTTGTAAAAATAGAATTTCGATCCTTCGTGACACTCGTTAAGGAGGTTCGATATAAAATGCACTTTAAGAAATTTGAAGTCGATTCAAGATAATCAATGACACACCAGATGCGTCTTGGGAGTAATTTATGTATATTTTGTCAATGTTGCTGTCAAATGTAGAAATAAGGATATACGATGGAAAAATTTTTAGATTCCTGAACTGTGAAGGTCGTATGTCTAAAGGTGTAGGATTCGTCGCACAATAAGTAACTCTACGCCATGTGTTAAATTACAAAGGATCGAAGTTCCATCTTTGAAAATCTTTTTTTTATCCCTACTTGGCACTTGGTACCTACTACATCTTCCCTTCCACTACTTCCTTCGAATGAGAATCTTCATCGAGCGATTAAACCTTTTTTACGAAGAATAAATTCAAATAAAACGTCAGGCTTTTCACGATAAAACTTCCATAAGCTCAGTTATTTTTCGTTACGATCTTTCTATAATTTCAAGCCAAAAAACTTTCGTTTCATCGTGAGAATAAAAATTTGTGACGTCGTAAACTGAATCCGTATTGATAGACTTTTAGGTCCGCTTAATCCTTGATAATTACACGGTTTTAGAATGAATTAATTACACGGGATACCGGTTCAAAAACGTGGAAATAAACGCAAGTACCGACTTTCTTCGTTGTATAGCGGCGAAGAATTTCGTTTACCAGGAAGGACGATTGGAGCGAGTACAAGAACAGGAAGTTAAGGATAAAGGACTCGATAATTGGCTAATCCTCCTCGAATAAAAACTATCCATATCCATGATACTTCTGAAACAGTGTATTTCATGTATGTCTACGACCCTCATATATTAAAGGATTCCTATAAAAATTATTCCTATAAATTAAACCTATAAATGTCGTTTTTTAATCCTCGGGGAACAGACCACCTGAATTTGATTTTCTATTTTTTAAATTTTTCAGATAATATTTCCCAATGTATCAAAGTTTTCTATTTAAAACTTTCAGTACTTAATTTTAGTACATGAAATACACTAATTAAGAATTATCACATGTATATAATAACATCCACTCCACTCCACGGAATCTCCATAAATATTGTCCAACATGGATTTCTATCGAAAATAACTCATATGTATTCATCCTATATTTATTTCTCATACGTCGCAATCATTTACCATTTACTTTCTCTCTATCCTTCTCTTGCCACTTTAGAAATCTATAAACAATCGATCAATTATTGCTAGCCTCGAGACCCTCCTATCACGCCATACGAATTTTATTTATAATAATGAATCACTTTAAATACACACATAGAGAAGTTTAAATTGCCCCTTGACTTTGTAGAGAAAACCTTCGAAACAGATACTAATTTTTCGCCTCTCCTAATTTTCTTCCTTATTTCCCTACCTATGAAAAAAATTGAACTTACTAAATATTTGCACACGAAGACGCAAACTATATTAGTATTCGGCAGGACATTGCAGGAGAAGTGAAAAAGTCTTAACGATATACAGAGTGTCCATTAAATATTTGTTAATCGTTAGAATACACGGATCAAATGCTAAAATATATAACTTAGAACAGAATTGCTGATTTTAATAATTTTTCTTGAAAATTAATATTCTATGTGCAAAATTAAGTAATTTTTAAATAATTAAATTTGAGCGTTTATTGGGCACTCGTGCACTTGGCTAACCCCAGATCTTCGTAAATAAGATTTTCCGCATAAAAATTGCCAAAATTTGTTCCATATTGTTCATAATACTATTAACCCTTTCGTTACTGAAGACGATTATTATTAATATGGAGAATAAAAAAAAAAATATTTAGAATATTGATATTAAGAACTTCAATCTCACCCAAATCCACCTAAAGCGATCACCAGTTAGAACAAAAAGATTCAACCAAATTCACCCAACTTTCGGTGAAAAGAATCTTTTCGTCCACTTATGGATCGCTGGTAAGTTAAAAACCACCAAGACCCCGTCCACGATAAAAGTTGAAGATGAACTGGTTCCACTGCGGAAGAGGCTCTTACGAGTTAACCGTTTCAGGACACCCTGCAAAAATCCTCGGATAAAATTAAATCTAAAGTTTCAGTAACCTTCATTTGCCCATTCCTACGAGTGCCTCGTCCATCAGCTCGTCGTCGGTGATGCAGGGCGAGGCAGAGTGGGGCGAGGGCGGTATAACCCTCGGCGAGGGTGCAGGACTCTTCACGATGTGGACACTGACGGAAGGACTGGCGGGAAAGGCAGGAGGAGGTGGCGGTGGGGTGTTCCTGCGCACCGAGGCAGCCTGGGTCATCGCCCTCTCGGGAATGCTAGTGAAGGTCAAGCTCTTGGCCACGTCTTTCGGCGTTGAAAAATCCAACAACATCTCGGCAGCCTCTTGAGACGTGGTCGCCGGTATTTCGGTACCGCTCGTTTTCATCGTGCCTGATGAACCCTCCGAAGACACGACCGATCCTAACGAAGAGGAACTCGAGGATCCTCCGGAAGACGGGACTTGTTGCTGCTGTTGTTGCTGTTGTGGCTGTTGCGACTGTGGTTGCGACTGTGACGGCTGCTGCTGCTGCTGCTGTGGTTGCTGCTGTTGCTGCTTCTTCTCGTCGGATTTGTACTTGGTCATGGTGGCATCCACCGGCTTGATACTCAGATTCAAACTCTCCGAGCTACCATTGCCAGAGCTCGTTGCGTTCGTTACATTCTCGCTCGTTATCGTACCTGTCGTCATCATGGTAGGGTACACGGGTTTGCTAGTAGACTGCGCGTCAGAACCTTTTGGTAGAACGGCCATTACCGGACCACTGCCACTGGTTTCGTCTTTTCCAGCGGCGGTGGAGTTCAAGCTGCTACTCAGAAACTGCGTGTTACTCCTACTCATCGATGGCTCCTTGCACGCGTCACGAGACTCGTTTTCGCTTGATTGCATAGACAAGTTCGTAGGGATGTCCATATCGTGCGAGCTACCGCTAGATAACGGGGGCAGAAGAAGGTTACTGGTACTGTCCGTGCCCAAGTTAATTACCGAGGCTGCGCTTGTCATTGAAAGATTGTCAGGCTTCGTTTGTACATGATCCCGTCTACCCTGGTTCGACTGCTCCTCCGAACTCGTTTTAGAGGCAGTCGACGAGGTATTCGATAACGCTTGTAACTTTCCCTGCTCCGTCGTTTGCTTAGTCGCAAGATTGTCCAAAGTCTTCCCACTGTCCGGTAGCATGGATAGCTTGTCCGATTTCTTGTCGGTGGAATCCGTATTGGCTCTAGCGGATAATTTGGGGATTTGAAATTTAGTGTCTAATTGCTTCATGAGACCTTCGACGACCAACTGCGGTGGTAGACTGGGTAGATTCGACAAATTGGTCATGGAAGCATGAGCAGCCAGCAACTTGAACGCCCTTTCGCTCTCGCTTTCCTCCCGCAGTCCTAAAGGACTCGATTTTCTAGTGTCCCCGATCCCTTTCGAAGGAAATATACTTTTATCGGCAGACTTAGACAGCCGAGATTTGTCACGGTTTCGACTGAGATCCGTCACACCGGAACCGGCTGTCTTTGGGGAACTCGAAGAAGACTTCGAAGACATGACACCTTTCGAAAGCAATCCGCTGCTACCGCTGCCACCGACGTTGATCCCCCCGGCACCGTTACCACTTCCAGAATTTGATCCGGAGATAGTTTTTAATGCTGACAGCATCTTTTGTCCTAACAACGTTGCTTTACCTCCGCTACTGCTTCCAGAACCGGAAGACGAAGATCCAGATAGTTTTGGGGATGTCTGAGATGGAGGTTTCTTCGAGGCGGGACCAGAACTCACTCCTGGTTTCAAGCCAGTGTGTGTTTTCGGCGAACCGTTACCCGACATGGAAGTCGACGAGGTGGAGGTACCCGAAGAAGTTCCGGTCGCGACAGACGCCGATGACGAAGACAGTTTCAGATTGGTGCCAGACTTTGAGTCCTTTGTGCGAGTTTTATTGATCGTTATCTTCATCCCATCGGAACTGTGCTTCACCATGTACTCCGCAGGATTCTTCGTGTCCATCGAAGAATTTTTACTGATACACTTCCCCTCCGCGGTTTTGTTCGACGAACTTCCAACGTTTCTCTCCTTCTGACCGCTAGAAGTACCACTTCCACCCGTAGAAGGCTTCGTTCCGCTATTACCATTATCCTCCGTACAGTGTTGGGCGTTCTTCAGCTTATCGATCACAGCGCTCAACGATCCTTTCCTATTCTTCGCCTGCTGCTGAGCGATGGCCGACTTGCCTAGCTCTGAACTTCCGGATGGCGGTGTGCTACCACCGCTGCTGGGCAACGTCGACTGCGCCTCCCCGCTAGGAATTAATTCCAGTTGTTTCAACTTACCGCTGGAGGACTTTGTTTTAGGACTCTGGTGACCGCTCGAACCACCGAAGGCTAACGATGACGTCTTTCTCTCCTTGTCGCGATTCGAGTCTTTGCCCGACGACGAAGAGGACGACTTTATCTTCGATTGTCCGGAATCGGTGGTTTTGCTCGACGGTGAATTGGCCGCGGATTTCAGGGCAGACATACTCGGCTTGCCGGTACTCGCTGAACTTCCGTGCTTCGGCGACGAAGTACCATGTTTCGGGCTCACGCTCGCAGGCACCGGCGTATGCTTGGGACTACTGCTGTAGACCGGAGAGTGCTTTGGACTTTGCACTGGCTTGTTTGTTGACTGTTTCAATGTAGGACTGGACTTACCTACGAGAGCGAGTGGACTGGTATGCGTCGGAGAGGGGCTAAATTTTCTTAACGTTGTCGCCGGCGAAGATGGCCTCGAACTTAAACTCGGCGGCGATTCGGTCGGTTTAATGCTCACCGAGACTGGTTTCGATAGAGGATCCTGTTTAGACGGTATCTTATCCGGCGGAGGTCCCATAGGACTGTCTTCTCTCTTACGCTTACGCCTCTTTTCCAACTTTCCCTTATCCTCGGTCGACTTTCCCTTGGAACTTTTTCGTTCCCTACGCTCGTCTGTCAGACTCTTCGACTGTGTCGGCCCGGCTATCGGAGTTATAGTGATCGAATTCGGTAAAGTGGTTTGCGGCGAGGACGTAATCGGTATTATTTCAATTCCTGGCCTCCTTTCCAAACCCATCCCCGTAAGTACAGAGTTATAGTTCGTAGTTTGACCCAAACTACTGCTTGAAATTGGCGTTATACTTACTGACGGCGGCACTAGACTTTTGTTCTCTTCGAATATAATCGGACTCTTTTTCTCTTCCCTCTTCCTCGACTTGCGCTCGCGTTTGATCAGCTCTTCGACATCTTGCAAATCGTGAACCTCCGTTATTTCGCTCTCGTTGTCGATATCGTAGTCGGAACTCTTATCCGTTCCCAAGATGTCGGTGGGATCTAAGTTAGAAAAATCTAAACCACTAGTTAAACTCGTGGCTGAAGTCGGCGTGGACGTTCTAGTTTCGTTTAAATTTTCTCTGCCACCAGTAGGCGTACCGAGTGGCGTCGAATCTGAACTGGAACTCTCTAACAATATTTCAGCACTCTCGTCTCCTTTTCGTTTCGGACTACGCCAAATACCGTCCGCCGTTTTTCTTTTACGCGTTTTCTTGGGACGCTCGTTTAAAGGATTTGACAAGGAGTTTTTTGCTTGCCCAAGCAAAGCTCCTAGTTGCAGAGGATTCAACATCGCAGTTGTGGTATCGGATTGGCCGGAATATGACGGAAAACCGATACTATTCTCCGTTCCGGCATCTAAAAAAGACTGCTGCTGTTGCTGTTGTTGTTGTTGCTGTTGTTGCTGCTGCTGCTGCTGTTGCTGCTGTTGCTGCTGCTGCTGCTGCGACGACTGCTGTCTCCCCATCGTTCCGTTACCGTTATTCAAACCGGGTTCTTGCTTGATTTTGGTTTCTCCGTTCGTGAAATCAGGCATCCCCGAACCATTCTGATTGTTCTGATCTTTGCCAGAGCCGAGATTTATGTTATAATTTCCATTTCCACTGTTCATATTCGTCATAGTGCTTAAAGCGTCGCGACTCTCCCATGATTTCATAAGTATCCTCATCGTCAAAGGTATACTCAGACACTTTTGTAAGACTTTTCCAGTCAAATCAGACGTCTGTTCCGTGTTCGTTATGCTTATGCCGTATAATTTACACTTCAGCGCGGAAATATCCGTCAAGTCTAGCTCAGCTGTTGCCATTGTCTCCTCGAAGGGATGCTCCAGACTTACCGATATGTGTTGCCACGACAAAGCGCTCACTTCGAATATCGTTGCGTGTTCTGGATCTTGCCGAGCCATCGGTCTAACGCAACTGCTAATCAAAGTGTTGAAAAGCGCTTGCTGTCTCAAGTATACCAAAATTTGGGGAACGTGAGCCGGATGAGTGAAGGGAATGCTACACACTAACACACCCTCCAAATTTTTGTTCTCCGTCATGAAGTAACAGTGCTGCTGATCTGGCAGACTCTGTAACCAAGTATTAACTTGAAACCGAGGAAGTTAAGAATTACTAAATGTGTAAAATGTTTTACGTACCACGTAAAGCCCTCTGTTGTTTCGACAATCTAGTTGACCTTCACTGGCATGCTGAATAATCAGACTAAGTAACGGATGAGGGGCAGATATATCCCCGCATTCGAGCTCTGTTACTTTCTGTATTCTACGTACTAGTTCCATGCACATTGGCATTTTCTTGGCTAGCTTCAGTACGAAGCAAGCTGGCAGTACCGATGAATTTGTACCAGTTAAAGGAGCATAAGATGGAGTACTAAAAATTACTTATTATTAGTTACTCTGTAATTAAAATAACGTATGCTTTTTCAATGAATTATCAACCTTTTTCCTGTTGGACTTCTATTTACAGTTATGATACTAGATGTAGGCAACTTATGAGCGGTCGAACCTTCCATACAAACTGTCACGGAATGGCCGATCTTTCGTTTGATAACTACTTCCGAACTCAACGCATCGCAGGTACGATTCTCGTGATCTATTAAATCATAAGGAGAAACGAAATACGTCAGTTTCATCGCATGACCTCCTCTTCTTCGCTCAAGGATTCCTGAAAATACAAAATTATTCTATTAGATATAATACATTTCATTCTTTTGTTCTATACAAATGAATAAATTAGATACCAACCTACTGGGCTTTTATGAACAAGGTTAAAAGGTTCTTTTATAAACGTTTGCAATTGAGCTAAGATACCCAGATCAGCCTCCAGTGATTGTAAAGCACTAAATGCTTTACACTTTACCTTTTTATCAGCATTTAATTGATATATCGATGCTAAACCTTCTAATTGTACTGTAAAATCAAGGAAGTCTCCACGCGACAAGCAAGAGACCAACACATCACAGCTCTATAAATATATCATTAAAATTGTATTTAACTGACTTTCAATATAAATTAGAACATTTTTAAACATTAAATATGCACCTGCTGCTCATTCTTTCCTTCATGATGAATTTTAACATCTTTAACTACACCCGATGGCTCCAAAAGAACTTCCAAAAAGAACATATCAGAGGAGATAAACAACTCTGTACCTGGTGGACCAGACATCATAAACTTTAAGCTGTAACCCAATCAAGACACATATATTTACTGATACCTTATTCTATTTTCTGATTTAATAATCAGTAAGTATTTACCCCAACTGCCTTGTTAAACTCTCCAAGCGTTCCACCATAGATTGCAATGATGTTACTTTTATGGAATGTTGCAAGGTATCTAAACATTTCTGCAGTTGACTCTTTTCTGCACTATCTATTGCAAACCTCTTATCCTGTTTTTACAATAAATGTTATCAGTTGAAAATAGCTAAAGGATTCTATTATCTTTTCTTTAGCACTCACCAGCATAGCCATGCGTAAGTTTTTGGCAGTTTCAACCAAAGATTTAAATGAGGAAGATTTAGAGCGTAATTTCTCCATAAGCAACTCCATCTGCCACTCTTTCCCCTTATCCATTGTTGAACCACTAGTGGCAGAAGGTTGCCCACCTGCATTGCAAAGTTTATGCAAGTTACTGTGCAATTAATGTTTTATTTCTACACGATATAAATGTATAAAAATTTTATCAAACATTCAAATTCTGTAAGTTTCATCAGATACAAATTTTTCATTTGTATAAGAGTAGAATAAAATTTGTTACATATTTATTAAATAAATTTTAAATTACTCTTACCGAGGGGCTTTTGTCCGTTCGCAACATCCATGTATCCCGTGGTGTTACACGGATGTTGAAATTTATGCTTATATCGATTATATTCGCTGTTATAATATCACAACAACATTATTACACACTACATTGTGACAGGAGCTGTTATTTTCACCGAACCCACGTTTGATCGTTTAACAGCTCCTAACCTTCACCCACAATATACTAACTATACTTAGAAGCCATACGTTTCTACGTATAGGCGTTTTCGTCCATGACATGCCTCAAGAGGGGGAATTCTGTAACGCTCTTTTACACCCTCTATAGTTGTATTTTACACATTAATATTCATCAGCGTGTTAAAAACCTTCTGAATAGAAAGTTATTGATTGCCATGAAACGCTAAATTTTATTTTACTATAGGACAGAATTTATTTCATAAGTTCGTGCCAGTGTAGTACTCGACAATATGTAACAATGTGTAAATCCTACCAAGCGTTTTCTATACAAAAATGATCATAGGTACAGAATGTTAGGTTTTCATTTACACCTGTTGTTAAAAACTAACAATAAGTAGAAGCATACATATGTAATTGCATTAAAAATGCATTATATCGATTGTAACATTTAAATGTGTTTTAGAACGTTACTGCATGCCTTTATTCTCAAAGGATCATGATACAAAGAACAGTTTATATAACGGCCGTGCCTGTTTTACTAATCCCTCTTCTACCACAACCAAAAAGCCACAATTTCGACTTCCTTTGATTCTATTTTTTTCTTTTTTGCGTTGCGTTGAGATCGAACTTCGAATTCCGCATCGGTAAAACAGTCCATGTTTGATAGAAAAATTGATTCAAGCGCCACCACAGTTATCGCATCCAACTACATAACACGTATATGTTACGACAGCTATACGTATAAACATGCATTCATTATTATTAATTTTCTTTCCGTAAAATTGTATTTGCAATATGATACACTTCAGAATCTTAAAGACATAGTTCCTGAAACAAATATAACAGCGATTAAATAGAAAAAAAGCATTTTCGCAGCCAATTCGCTCGTATTATTTGCTGCATAATTAATAAATGTACCATAGAAATGATGATACAGTTATTAATTAGTCATCAGATAATAACGATTGCCCAGGTCTCACCACGGGGAGGTTGCTGCGGGTGGAGACCCGCCCTACCTCATCCCATCCACCCTCCATTTATGCAAATTTTTACATGTATTCAATAGCATCATCCTCTTGATGTACATTTGCAAAACGTTTCGACTGTTGTGCAAACGAACAACAAAAGGAGCATTATTTTTATTTACTACCTACCTATCTACTTATCTATACATATATTTACGTAGATTTTTGCTTTTTATTCCTATCGCAACATTTTTTAATTTTGATTTTGATTACAGATCTGTAATTAATAAATATGCAATTGCATATTTGTCCTACATACTTATACTACTAAGAATATCTATCTATACGAGCGCTCGTAATTATATTAAAAATTCGCTTAAATCTAACGCTTCCTAATTAAACAATGCAGTGTTTGACGATTATATCTTAATGACCATATACATAAATAAGTCCAATGAATTTGTTGATTTTGTTGTCCTCACCAGAATATTTCCTGAAATAAAACTGAAAAGGATTAAACATAATTTAAAAAAATAATGAGGCTCATGTAGCCTTAACTATAAATTTATAACCTGCCTGAAACAAACAGAAAAGGATTAAATACAATTTTCGAAAATAGTACGGTTGAAATATTACCACTTATAAGAATCATTTTTCCTTTTCAATCATTTTCACCTTGTTTTACTTAATTGGACACATTGAATTCCATTTATGGACGATAGATTTCATATTACATTTCTTCCAGTCGATTATCCGATATTATTATTTCATACTTCCTATAAAGATATTTCTCTGTAACAGAAACTGATTAATTGAATCCAGATAAAGACAAAGAAAAATTAATAGCTGGAAAGAAGATACATTAGTAACAATAAAATTTCATAAAAGTCAGAGTGATTGTTAATAATTGAAAATCAGTTTGATACGAAATATGAATTTAAAGCAAACTTCAGTACCAAAATAAAGAGAAAGAAATTCAGAAAAATATATATTTGAGTTAAGTGATTTGAGTTAAGAACATTAATTATTTCATACCACACAATATTTTGATTGAAAGAACTGTCTTTTACTGCAATATATAGTATGTACAACCACGACTCTACTCGACTTTATTGCATTATATTATTCAATACACCTTTCAATGCAAATTTATTGTAAATGGAAAAACTGAAAAGAAAATCACGAGTGGACTTTGCTTTTCAGGAAAAGAATTTGAAAATTTATAAAAGTTATTTAATTAGCTTCTCCGTAAGCTTGAAACGAAACATCGCGATCAAAAATTAAAACTGAACAACTCGAACAACAATTATCCACTACTTTTGTTTAAATAAAGTAAAATAAAAATTTAATAAGCTATCTCGAATGAACAAATATTCCTTGAAATAAATTATTACCAATCATCAAAAAATAAAATGAATTTCCATTTTAAATAAAACTTTGAATAAAGTTCTCTTTAAAACTTTATCGTATCTAATAATATCCTGAAAACATTAAATTCATATATTATTTAACAGTATTTCCAATAACCGAATGCTCAAAATTTTCAAAATTAAAAAATGGGAAGAAAAAAAAATGGGGGCATGGCAGTGGGAGAGAGGGTACAGGGGAACCTGAAAAGAAAAGTTTGACTGCCCATAAGAGCAATCCCTAAGCAAACCCTATAAAACAAACCGAAATCACACGCAACACTAATTTTAAAATTGCAAACATTCTGAACTATGACAAAACATCGGCTGGCAACGAAGGGTCTCACGCCCCCTAGACTTACGCCAGACGCTACATACCATCCACCCCGCCTGGACGTCGTAACGCCAGGACAGAGTGCACCCCTTCGCTAAGAGCGCTACCCGCCCGTCCAACACGTTGCATCCAACGGTGTCAGATTGACGGACGCCCATAGTATAGACAAAAGGACTGCAGTTTAGAATATGGTAACATATTTTCATATGTTCCGTATTCTAAAACTGCGCCTGCAAAGGCCTAGTAATGCATGGGTATATCTCCCAGAGATGGTGTTCACGGTCTTAGGCCGCGGAATCCTTGACTAGCAATGGATTCCCACCGAATGTAAGTCATAGTTGCTTCCACTAATTTAATAAATGCAAAAAAGTAAAAAATTTAATAACAATCGCGAATTCATTCGCAACACTAATTTCATTAATTATATAATATGTACAAAAGCGTACGCGTGAAGGCTGCTCCATTATACGCAACACTAAGCTGAAAAAAAGAAAAAAAGAGAAAACGCGAACTGTAACGCAACACTAGTAAAATCTACCGAATTTTGTAAGACGCAACACTAATCTAAAAAAAGGGTACAGCCAATCCAAGGCTGTACCACGGCAGCTGGTCCATAGCTGCCTTATGGACTATGGCAACTCCACTGGATCGTTTTTGGGCATTTCTAATGCAAAACGCGAATATTCATTACCGCAACACTAATTAGCAGGAAACTCTATAAACTAATGCAAAGCAATCGCGTATTTATAAGTCGCAACACTGGGAAACAATCGCGCTAATGTCTATCGCAACCCTATCTTTAACAGACATGCAATTAAAATGCAGAAAGGGGGGATTCTCAAACCGTGAATTTTTTACTCGCAACACTAATTTTATTAATTATATAATATGTACAAAAGCGTACGCGTGAAGGCTGCTCCATTATACGCAACACTAAGCTGAAAAAAAGAAAAAAGAGAAAACGCGAACTGTAACGCAACACTACTCAAATCTACCGAATTTTGTAAGTCGCAACACTAATCTAAAAAAGGGGTACAGCCAATCCAAGGCTGTATCATGGCAGCTGGTCCATAGCTGCCTTATGGACCATGGCAACTCCACTGGATCGTTTTTGGGCATTTCATCATATATCGCAACTCTAATGCAAAACGCGAATATTCATTACCGCAACACTAATTAGCCGGGAACTCTATAAACTAATGCAAAGCAATCGCGTATTTATAAGTCGCAACACTGGGAAACAATCGCGCTAATATCATTCGCAACGCTATCTTTAACAGACATGCAATTAAAATGCAAAACAGGGGGATTCTCAAACCGTGAATTTTTTACTCGCAACACTAAAGCAATCAACATTAAAAAGCAAAACTCTCAAAAATCTTAAAGCAATCAACATTGAAAAGTTAAATTCCATTTTAAAGCAATGCAAGAAAGAAACGCGATATTTAAAGTTCGCAACACTAAATGAAAATCGCGATAATCATGCATACGCAACATTAAATTGAACTGTGATCAATATTCATTCGCAACACTAAATTGAACCGTGGTCAATATTCGCAACATTAAATTGAAAACGCGATTTGCCCAAAATCATGGGGGTCACGGGCCCCCTCTTGTCCTGAAATTACAAAACTACAACTACAGGCAAGCACAGTGACAAAGTAGTAACGATAATAATTTCCCATCCTTCTTTGCAAAAGGATGCAAAATCATTAGTAGTTCCCCTCTTGAAAGACAGTTTGTCGGGGCGCTTCGGCATATAGCCTTTTCTTTCTTCGGGCGGTCCACCCACCTGAAACTTATATCTAAAGCTCGAGACTTGCAAATTCGCAAAACAAAAAAAAAACAATCAACAAAAAAGAAAAATCGCGAAACTCTAATTGACACGTGGACGAAAAAGGATTTTATATAAATCGTTGTTCGTGCACACGTGCCGTGCTCGAGCAGAACTTGTGCGTTTCGTACCATCGCGATCGCGTATGACGACTTATGAAGTCGCCAAAAATTTGAAAAATTGTACAGATAGAATCGAAGACGAACGGCATACTCCGTTCGTATCGATTGTATCGTCAATTCTTCAAACATATTCCAGGTACAGGTTGATCACGCGAAATCGCGCCTACCCGACCAAGAGACTGTGACAACCTGTCCCGGCCCTACCTACTTACAATCTATCACACACACCAGAAGGTATACTACCTACCTACCTAACGCTATATTTAAAAAAGGCAAAATCACATTCTCACAAAAATTCATTCCACGACCCCCATACACTCCACCCGGGCGCAAGAGCCTAAACTAGGGAGAACGTCCCGGGACGCCTCCGTCACCCGAGTTTCATCTCACATCACACTCTACGGTACGTACCATTTTTCACTGAAATCGTCCGACAAGGCTAGCAATCATTGCGTATAATGATAATTACAAAATTTAATTAGCTACTTTGATATAGAATATTTCATAGTAATGGTAATAGTAATGATAACAATAGTATTTGGTTTATACGTTCATCGTACATCTTGTTGAATAAAATATTATTTCAAATTAAAAATAAATGAAAAAGTTATTAAACCGACGCAATCCCACAGCCTAAAAACACACACACCATATGTGGAGATTACGTCGTGCACGATATACTAACACAATGCCAGCCGCTTATTAATTATTATTCTTATGAACTAGGTCATCGTGCCCATTGCCTCTACCCATCCAAGTAGCACCTGGGCACGTGAATGGGCTTTGGCAATAAACACGGAAGGGGTTAAATCTGAAAATCCTGATCTACAAACATGATTAGTACATAAACATCTAACGGGCTAATATTTGACTATTTTAATTTAATAAAAGTGACTCGACTTTGTAAATATAAAGCTTTAAGAACAAATACTGAAAAGCAAAATAGAGCAACTATGACGCAAACATGGTGCACTGCTAATATCAGCTGGCAACGAAGGGTCTCACGCCCCCTAGACTTACGCCAGACGCTACATACCACCCACCCCGCCTGGACGTCGTAACGCCAGGACAGAGTGCACCCCTTCGCTAAGAGCGCTACCCGCCCGTCCAACACGTTGCATCCAACGGTGTCAGATTGACGGACGCCCATAGTATAGACAAAAGGACTACAGTTTAGAATATGGTAACATATTTTCATATATTCCGTATTCTAAAGCTGCGCCTGCAAAGGCCTAGTAATGCATGGGTATATCTCCCAGAGATGGTGTTCACGGTCTTATGCCGCGGAATCCTTGTAACTAATTTGATTAATTAAATAATAAAAAGGATTGAGTTTAAAAACCAAAAGGATTCCCACCGAATACTAGTCAGTGCATCGTCATATTTACTCTCGCGCTGGAAATTTTTCGCAACACTAATTTAAAAAATGCAAAATTTTAATAAAAAAGAATTTAATGTCTTTAATTAAGAATTCTTTGCAATGAAACAAGAATTTGTTGTGAAAATTAATAAAACATCCTCGGGTGACTCCCTCCTCAGAGTAAATTTTCAAGAATACGCAAAATGTGTTGAAATAGATCACTCTGAGTTGGAAATCTACCCGTCACGAATTGTCTTCTTGCACATAAATTGTTCATTTTTTCATGAACGTGTAAATAAGTTAAACTTCGTTATTGAATAAATGAAATTTTAAAAAATTCTCAAATCATATTTGAATTTATAGTGTACAAAATGTAATTAAATCAATGTAACACCATCATTAATATGTATATCCAGTATACAGATTATATAATGCTATTAATATTATATTGCTTTGAACCATCGCAATAATTAAGTCAGATAGTATTTGACTTCTCTATTACAGACAAACTAAATAAAATTGTTTCGGTATTAAAATATTCTAATTCCACAGTTAAGAATATTTAAGAGCATTCATATATTTCAAAAATATCTATTAGAATATGTGGAATTGAAATGATATTAAAACGCGGAGTACAAGAAGACCTAGCCTAACTAAATGAAATGAAACAATAAAAATGTTACTACTCATGGGTATGTACAATCATACCCATGGTCACTATGCTTGCCAAGCACGTATACAACTAGTAGCCCGTGTCGATTCGGACCATTCGTCCTACGACATGATTGGGCACCAGAGGAACCATAAAACATGCGACTCACCGTTCGCAGATATACTCTTCTTCCGACAGTCAAGTAGGAGGATGGACAACACTAGGAGAATACTGAAGTCGTGAAGAAATTCATCTGTAACAAAAAAAGAAGAATTACGATTAATTTTGAAAATTATAAATTTTTGTTCTAATAAAATTATATATGAAATTGAATTTTATAAAATATTAGCAATTAAAAAGAAATATCAATTATCAAGGGTTGAAATTGTAAATTATTCTATTTTAATAAAAAGCAATTAAGTGACGTACCAAGACGGAAGTCGTGAAGAAAGCCATCATCAGGATATCCAGGAACTCGGCAATCAAAAAATTCATCTGTAACAAAACAAAAAAGAATTACGGTTAATTTTGCAAATTATCAATTTTTATTCTAATAAAATTATATATGAAATTGAATTTTATAAAATATTAGCAATAGCAATTAAGAAGAACTCTCAATTATCAAGTATTGAAATTGTAAATTATTCTATTTCAATTAAAATTAATTAAATAAAGTAATAAGATACTTACACTCTTTCCTTACGGAGCAACGCCCAAGACTCCTCTTCAGTGGTTGTTTGACTCTAATCCCGGATATATCGAGCAATTAAAAAAAAAATTAAAAATAAAAATAGTAACGCGACCGTGAATAATTTCCGGCGAACAATTATAAAGACTCTACTTTCACGATGGAAAAAGAAAAATCAGAGCCGCGATGCTCTAGAAAATATTTTATAACACACAGCAAACACTGACTCTACTTTCGCGTGATTCCTAACTATACAAACGCAACACTATTCAGGGCCAGTTCACCCTTGAAAAAATCAAAACATTGGAAATATCTTCGTACAAACACTGACTCTACCGACCGCATTGCGCGCGGCCACAACAATTCCTGAAAGAAAAACTTAATGAGCAGGGATGGGCTGGGTGGAAATATACAAAACAACATTCTTCTTATTGAGCATTCGTAACGTAAATACTGTTATTAATGGCTTGTAAATGAAAATATCTATGTTCGTGAAATATATTCGACGAGCACAAATATTGTTAAAGCTGAATATTGATCCTAGATTGAAATGAAATGTTTTAAATAATTGTTGATAATTATTTCAATGAATATTACATCGATAGAAAATCATTTTGTAACAAAAATAATAGACTATTGTATTGAAGCAGAGGATTTGTGTTGTTAAGATTGTAAGCATACTACAATTTGTTGAAAATTCTATTACGGAATGATTTATAAATTATCTAATTCTTTTCAATAAACAAAGTCCTATCAATAATCATATTTAAACAGCATGTAATTTAAAAACGTGATTCTATTTCAACTTGCATCGAAAGCTGGATATTATAATATAATTACTACGATTTAACAAAAATAGATTGTTTGAAATAATTTATAATTGTAAAAGAGAAGCAATCATTTGCAGTAAAATACGAATTATTTCAATTTTGTTCTAATTTAAAACAAATGTATTAAAATACTAGACAAAACTATTTAATAAAATGAAAAATTAATTATTCTTTTTCTATGAATTGATTAAAGCACAAAAATATCTCTAATCTTTTCTTTCTTGGTACCTTGGTACCAATTAACTATCAAAAAACAACGACTCAATGAAAAAAAAGTAATAATAAACGTTAATAATTGATTAGAATAAATTAAAACAGTAAATTCTTATGAAATTATATTGCAAACCCATATCAGGTGCCATGGCGTCCTTTCAAAATCTATCAAATATCTGTAATAAAAAAGAAATACGAATTTATGTAAAAAAAATTTAATCAACAATAATAAAGTTATTATTAATAAACGATCGAACTATAATTGATACAAAATATTTTAATGGATACAATGTGTACCTATTATTTATGCGGAAGGATGCTCTCAACACGTCCTGTCAGTTCGACGCTCGAGAGAGCAATGGCGAGACCTTCCTTCCCGACGAAGAGCGGTCGGCACCGCTTCGGCATTCTTCGGAAAATTCCGATATCGGCCGATACCTAAGCAAGTACACGAACAGGTCTAAACACGAATAATATTACGATGCTCAAGAAAGAACGTTATTACATTAAAAACAGCAAATTGTGTAAAACAGTACTAAAAACATTCAATAATGTTCAGGAATTTAACGATATAAAACAGAAAATAATTCAGATTCTGCTGTTCCACTCTTATTGTGCATTCGCGGCGAGAGCAAAAATTTTCAACTCGCGTATTTGTGAAGAAAACGCCGAATTAATGTCAAAGATCAAGAATTCAGACTTCTCTTCGATGTTTCTTTCTGTTTTTTGTACTTTTAACACCCGATCGGCAATTTAATTTAATATTTGAAGATAATTTAATCTTACCTGTTGCAGACACGTGCCAAACGGACGAAGCTTCGAAGAGGACTGTTACACTCCACCACACTCCGCGCAACGCACCCTTTAACGATGAATCTGATTGGTCTAAATAGGAGGACGCCATAATGGAATGACCAATCACAGGCATTGGTAGAAACTTCGAATTGCTTTGAAACTTTAACATTAAAAGAATGGAAAGATTCGTTGAAAATTATCAACGCCATATTGAAATATGATCAAGATTACTTTTTTCACTTTAAAACACCAAAATATAAGAAAAAAGACAGAAAAATTCATAAGATATTAATGGTATTTAATAATTTATCACCATAAAATCAGAATAAATGAGAAATAGGTTATTTTAATTTGTATCTGTATCGACAAAATAGAGTATAAATTTTCAGCTTACACATTTCTGAAGACAATGTGGAAATGATGTCAGAAGTCACGACTCCGATCTTCTCTTCAACTTTGTCTTCTGTTTCTTATATTTTTGATACCTAATACACAATTTAATCACATACACGAGCTGCGAATAATTGTGCTGTCGAGGATACTAAACGAATAAACTGCGCCCTACAGAAAAATTGTGGATATCAGGATATCGCCGAAACTATTCGACAAGTAGTTTCCGCTACTTTCGAATAGACGGCGCTGCCCGATTCCAGAATATCGGTAAGTCGATAACTCGTTGGCGGCATTATATAAGTGTTAGAAAATGTTCTTTATTAATGAACATCTTTTTCAACATATATAACCGGATTTCTGATAGAACTTATGCAAGTAAACGTGATTACTAATTATTTAAACGCATTGCTAGAAGACTAACAACGCTGCTACATTGATATTTACACCATTAAAGATGAAAATAATTTCTAAAAAAACTAGGTTTCAATTTTTTCCTAAAATTTCTCTTAAGAAACTTTTAGATGTTGGTTAATATACTTCACCATTTAACATTAAAAATTAGGTACTCTTGTTCTCTTGCATTCATTATTTACTACAAACATTACAAAAATTTTCCATTTCTACCACTTATTACCCTAATACTTTATGGCATCTTACCCATATATCTCTTACCAGCAAACAGATTTCATTTAATACTGATAGCTTTTCCATCCAACAAAAACAATTTTTTAATGCATTGCACCAACTTCTGAATTTGATCTCATAATTTAATATGATATCAGTCAATCTTTAAATCTTATAATGATTCTATATTAGGAACTAGTTTAATGGATCGACTGTCACCAATATAAGATAAAATAATTTAAATTGCATCAGTGCAACAATCCCACTGATTTCCAACACTTCGTATTCTGCTAGATTCTCAAAATTTGCAAAATTCCGCCTACTTAACACGTTAACTGCCACCTATGAATTACTAAAAAAACCAAAAATATTTTTTTAAATTTCTATATTTAGAGCTTAATTTAATAAATGGAAGGATTGTATCTTGAGTATACATATAAAATGTCTTATCACACATAGCCATTTTTCTGTGACAGTCAACGTGTTAGAGAAAAAAAAATCTATAATATTTGCCTATCTAACTGTAAAGCACCAATTGAAAAAGTGCACAGTCTCATTTAGGAAAGTCTTTAGAGTCGTTCATGGACTGGCCCTTTTTACGTGGTAACTGTAACGTGATCGGCTGAACGTCCTGGGTCTTCCTGGTTCCCTGATTCGAACTGCGAAACGTAATCTTTAGATTGGGCACGTGTTGCTCGGCTGTCCAATCGAAATTGAAAATCGGCGTTTCCGGGTGTAGCTCTGAATCTGGAGTATCAACTGGGGTGGTAGGTGTTGCTACGTATGGGCTAAGTTCTTGATGAACGACATCCGGTACCCTCTGTAAGGTGTCGGACCATACTGGACTGGAGTTCCAATGTTCCATGGGCAACTCGGAGGGATCAACCGCTGTTCCTGTTACCGTTGATGTCGACAAGGCCTTAACAGGAAGTCGCTTATGCGTACTGCCCCTCTCGTTACAACAATACTCCTTATCTAAATCTGTGATGTAATACTTGGGCGACAACGCGTTCACGTTGTACTGACCATGACACTGAATAAACTTAGCTCTATAACCACTCAAATTTAAGGAATTTTTGTGGTGTGCTTTGTACCTGTCTGTGAATTGGCCAAGAGCATAATGGCCGTGTTGCATGTGCACGTGTATATTTCTATTCTCATGCTCGCTACTACTTATAGACATGTCTACGGGCTCTGCATCTTCTCGAGTACTTCTCCCTGTGAAATCTTTCATTTGCGACTTCGAGGAATTGTGAACATCCTGCTCGGAATTTCGAATATCAGGAGAGTGCTGAGGGTCGTTATTGTGGGGGTGAGACAACGATCTCGCGTAGTCTTGCTGCTGGTTGTTCTGACTTCCGGTCGCGTATGGCACACTACGATTTTGGCTACCGGAGCAGATCGTGTAGGTGAATTTTGATTGGGACGAGTACTGGTACAGCCACGAGCTCGAGCGCATTACTTCCGCTTCCTTATCACTGGAATGATTATGTGAAGTAATTGTGTTATTGATGAGCTAATTTATCACTACTCCCATCGGCGTAATTAGAATTATTTTGGAGTAGGGGTGGGTCCCTTGGCTTTATTAAAAACTAAATCTTGAAAATCATATTTTTGGGGGGAAGAGAGGGCGAGGGAGCCATCCTGGGTTCTACCTAGTTAAGCCAATGATTATCTGTTTTATTTATAATAAATATGTAAACATACCTTAAAACTTGATTCGTACAGACAATGATGGGATGCTGACATTCTTCAGAGGTATCCTTCACTTGTAAAACACAGTGGACCCAGAACCATCGCCCAGAACGACTCTGCAGTCTCAAGAGCGCGGTTGCAGATCTTTCTTGATCAGATTGGATAACTGAAACAATCGTAGATAATATCAAATATCTTGAATATTAAAACGGTTTCATTTAGCTTTTAAAACTTATATCAGTTAACATACCAGTCTGATGCTTACAGTACGCTGTTCGTATAGAATCCCAATGCAACAAATTGTACCATGACACGTTTACTAATTCGTTACGTGTATATTCCAAATGGCTTTCCGCTCTGTGAATAGAAAAAAAAAAATATTTTGTATTCGAAAAATCATATTTCAGTATCTTATTTTTACAAACAAAAAATAAGGATTACGTTTTATCAATATGAAGGTACTTCATATCCATAGAGTGAATGGTGGTGAAAATATTAGTCGCACCCTGCACGATACTTTCTCGTGTTTCCGGTAAAATAACGGGTGTACACGAAGCAAGAAAAACAAATTCGTTTCGATTACAAACAGGAACGAAAGGTAAAAAATGACCTTCGACAAGAACCACCTATAAAAAATAACAATAGAACTAAAAATACAAACGAAAACTGCAAAAAATAATATTAATAACATCATAAAAATAGGAAAAATGAAATATCGATTAAAATACAAATTTTTGTTTAATATTGCCATAAATATAAAAAATACAAATTGAATACTAAATAAATATTGATATATTTTACAAAAATATTATATGTATATACCTTCTGATCGCCAAAACGTAGTTGTCTTCGAGAATTTCTAGACACGTTGATGCGACAAAGGAATAATCTTCTATCGCTTGGAATTGGACTATTTCTAGATAATTGATTTTGTACAACCATATGATCCTGTTTGTCTATCACATCGTAAACGCTATCTCCGTGGATCAATAAATCTTCCTAAAATGTATCGTACAATGTGAAAGATTTGAACTAAATAAAACTGTATATTAGAAATAGTAAACAACCTCATCTATTTATCTATCTATCTATTTTTATAACGAACTCTCAACATGGTTGATTACCGTAATGATTGTCTTTTTTATGCAGTTACTTTACCATAGAGTGTCCAAGATATTCTGCGGCATTTTCCGATATATACAACAGTTTCCCTTGCTGGGTCATCATCATTATAAATCCGGACATGGCCTGAAAAATTGCATGCATTGTATGGCCAACATTTGTACCGTAACAACTAACGGTCGGAAATACAATGCGATATGATGATAAACAATATTACTTTTGAAAATCCTATATTAGGAGTCGGGATATTCGAAGAGTCGGACGGACAGTTTTTCAAGGCTGAAACAAAAATAAAAAGAAAGAAAGGAAAATTTATTTAATATATTTTGGAAAAATTACATTTATGAAAGATAAGTTTTTAAATTTTTGAATAACGTATGATTGATCTGAGAATAGACTTTTATTACCTAATGTTACATACTGTGCAATAAAATTTGTAGATAGTCACAGAGTAATAGTGAATAGATAACTTTACTCGTACGATTCTATCATTATTGCTGTTTTTATTATTCATAAACTCTAATACCGAGAAGTTCTACTGATAAGACACTTTCTTATCTCGATAATAGTAAAATAGTACTAAGTAGTGCAATTTTAATGGAGTAAGAAAGCAACAAAGATACTAAAATAACTTTTTAGAAAATTTTACAGGTAATGGCTTATTTTGGAAGGCGCAAAGACCGATGAAGAATTTATAACAGAAAAGTATTATAAAATGGCACTTGCGCTACGTCAATTTGATGCTCAACCCTCGGACTAAATGAATAAATGAATGACTAAAATTTGTGTATGTTCAAAGTACTAAAAATACAGTCCCCCTACGCATCATTAATAGAGGCATCAATGTATCATATAAAAAATAAAGATAATTCATAGAAAATTTGTAGTAAATGGGCTTTTTCTTCGGTAGCTCGAAAGGGAAATAGGGTTCGGGAAAAGAAAAGGAAAAGGAAAAGAAAAAGTATCGAGAAAGAGAAGATGGAAAGAAGCGTTATGCTAATGCAGCATAGCTACGTTTACAAACGGCGTTACACGGGACTATAGTATCGAATACTGTGAAACAATGAGTATGTAGAAGAGAAAGAAAGAACGACGGAGAGCGGAGAGACGATACAGAGGGAGTATGGGTTACAGGAGCGTGAGAGTGTTGTTGCAAAGGCCGACAGGTCAGCGGATCACCCGGAACTCGCGCTTAGACTCCGCTGAGTTTGAATGTACTCCGATCTTACCTTCTTGCCTTACCTACCTCCCTACCTTTTACCTATATATTACTCTCTACGCTTGCACAACGGAGATGCCCGAAGTTTTTGATCCTCCAACGACCGTTTAATATTCTTGTCACGGGGAATTTTCTCGTTGCTGCTCGATATTCGATCAACCGTTGATGCTTCCCTCATGCAACACTTCCGTTATTCTTTTTTTTTTTTTCATTTATCAAATCGTATTTTCACGATTTCGGATGAATAACACGACCTTAGATTTTATTCAAACGATTTTAGCGAGATAAGGGATGATTGTACAAGCTTGTGTATTTTATTTTTAATTCGAAAGTAATCAGACTTTGGACAATTAAGAAACACGATAGTGGGAATTAGCGGGTGTTCGGAAACAGCTAATGAAGATACAACTGCACATTAGAAGAATGTTAGTAGCAGAAGAAATTGGTCGTAAAATGTAGGGAGAGTCGAAGAATAATTGATTTCAAGATTTGGAGGATGCTGCCCCATAATTCAAAGAAGGGTTAAATCTCCTCCACTTCTTCTCCCATCAGGATTACATACTTTATCTAACAAAACAATTCTTTATAGGGTTCAGATATGAGAAGTTAGAAATGTACGATTAAACACGTGTACAAGCATACTCGAGCTATACTCGTCGACTCTGAGACCAATGGCGGATCTAGAGGGATCTAAGAGTTATGAAATTTTGAAAAAATTAATTTATATAATTGGAAAATATTGTAAAATAATGATTCAGAATTATACTTTGGGTAATGCCTAAGTTTACATTGTAATATTGAGGAGCAGAGTCTTTTGGTCAATCGAGACCCAAACTTACCCTCCAGTCTGAGGGTTAATAGATATTAAAAAAATTTGAGTAGACTGACTGACTTTCGAACGAAATGTATCTATTAATGCTTACCTTGTTGAAAATAATTGGCCTTTCGAAGGAATACGCAAACCAAAGCCATAAGCTGTAGCTGGGAAAGTCTCTGACGAGTCGAGGGTGGTAATGGCAGTAAATCACGTAAGTTGGCGATTTCGGCATTTATCAGGTCCCTTCGAAGTTTGCTGGCACCTTTCGTTGATTTGCTCGCATCTATCCTTCAAGCATACATAGACGTTATCGATACGCTATACCATCCGAAACAACCGAATCTAAGTCACGCGCCTTTTTCATTTTTAGCGACAGTACATAAAATTCTCCTATCCTATTAATTTTAATATCAATTTTCAGTTTTTCTTTTAGTCTTCTGGCTATACTATAAATATGGCTATTTTATGTGAATCAAATAAAAAAAATTAAATTGATAGCTTTACTTTTATCAAAATGGCACCTAAAATAGTAAGTAGTTGCCGCCATTACCGCACATTGGCTTATTTTCCCAAAAACGTGAACAAAATTAATATTTTCAATTCTCTGATAAATTGTAATAAAATCACTCTAAAAATTAAAACAAAAAATATCTACATATATTTTTTGCATTACTGTTTATAGCAACTTTAAAATTCGACATCCATTAACATACTAAATGCCGCAGTGGAAACGGACGTGTGTAGTAAGACATTCAAGATATACGATTGTTTCACTTTTTTAATTTAAATTTTCCACTTTCTACCTTATAGAATTAATATAATATTTCGAATTTTCTCTTAGTAAGTCGATTAAATTAAATTTGTAGCGCCGGTTACCAATGACCCCCCACGACGTTCAACGTTTCATTTTGCAATTTATACTTTCTACTTGTTATCTTATGAAATTAATATACTATTCACATTGCTTAACATTTTCTTTTAATTATACGGTTATATTAAATTTGAAATTATGACCTTCAACGTGTTAAAAAGTGAAAGATCCCTAACTTAAACATTTCACCTATCCAAAAACTATACTCAAATACCTCTAAAAACTAATTGCAATCAGATCGATTTTCGTCTCTGGGAAAATGAACCTCCAGTGTGCGTCGGAGGCGGTCACGAAGGGGTTGAAATCACGATCGACGGTGAATGCGTGGTAGATAAGTGGTGTGTGTACACAAAGTGTTGAACACGTTGGTTCAACATCGAACATTACTTACCGATTGAACATATTTCGGTGACCAGGAGGACATTAGTAGCGGATCACTGGTAGGCGACGAACGAGACATCCGGGTCGGCAGGTTCTCGCAAAACTGCAGCTACGATCTAACATCCGGGTCATAACGCGCTACTACACTGAACACGTGGATACTGGCGGAGGCTGGTTCTCCTACCTTCTCACCTCCACAGCCCCCCTTTTTCTCTTTTACCGCCTCCACCACCATCGCCATCACCACCCACCTCAGCTTACCTTTCTATCCTCCTCGAAACTTCCTCTCCTCCTCCACGGCACAAAAATCACCATCGCCTCTTCTTCGTTTCACTGTTTATATTTCTCGGTCCCTTCGACTCCTCGATTTATCTCTCTCGTTTATTCCCTTTCTCCATTTTTTACCTCGCTCCCTCCTTTACCCTCTGTTTGCTACCACGGTCACGATCGGACAGTTGTGTCCCTCTACTACCGCCATCATCGCCGTCCTCACCACCACCACCACCACCACCTCCGCCACCACCGCTGATGGCTACTGGTTACGTTTCCTGTACATGCGGTTTCACCCGAATCATTTGCACAAAGTCCCGCCTCGCGAGGTCCTCGCTGCTATAACGAGAGAAATTTTCCTACTGTTCACCGGGAAATATATTTATTCAAAACGATGCGAACGTTTTCTTCTCTTTTACCATTCTATAGAGTTGAACGATGACGACGGTTCCTTTCAGACTGATACTGTAAAGTGTAAATTTTATACAGTGAAATGATTTTAAATTGTTGTTAGTTTTATTAAATTCATTGTATAATAGGATAATTAAGTAGAATGATTCTTATTCTCTTCGGAGAGAGACACAGGAATGGTATCAATGAAAATTTTGAACAGTATAGGTGTAGATAATTAGAGGGACTTCAGTAGTAATGATTTATTTTGCAGCACTTCTGAATTAATACAAATAATTATATAGTATGAAAATGATAATGAATAATTCAATTTCGGAAAAACCGAAAATACCTTACTGTATTTTAGGCTTGGAAAGGAAGAATATAAAATATTAGAAGAAACTAATTTTGTACATCTAATTTCTATTTAAATTGTAATGTATTTCTATCTTAATTATCGAAATTAAAGACCTTCTCAGAGATGTATTCCTTACATCTCTGTGTTCTTTACATCACAATGCCCCTTACAACCCTGTGTCCATTACGTTCTTGCATACTTCCATCCCTTGCGGGGCCCCTCTCAAAGTCGCGATTTCTCGATTTACAATAATGTTGTGAAGGGCGAAGAGCATTTTACAGCGTTTTCGACAGAATTGTGAAGGCCACACAAGGGATATGCAAAGGATACACAAGGGAGGTAAGGGATACGGTGATATAACGGATACGAGGATGGTCCCCGCTAGGCCTATAAAGAGGGATAAAAAATAAAATTTCTTTTCTAACTTTCTTTTCTAAATTAAAAATAAATTTCTTTTCTAAATGTCAACAATAGTGAAAACTAGAAAAGAAAGAAATAAAACAAAAGAAATCAAAGACTAAAATAAAAATACTCCCATAGTGTATAAAATCAATAAACCAGGGAATAGAAGTTTGTACAATATTTACAATACAATATTTTTGTTGATACTTACAAAATATATCACTCATCACATTCGTACTATACATACAGTTAATTGCTTAAGCTTCAAATCAGAGGGTCTATTTTCTTACTTTTGGTATCTTCTGACACAAACTGGAACTGTGAACAATATGAACAAAAAAATAAGTTGATAAACTAATATATGTTACGTTTCACATGATGTAACATATGCGGGTATTATGCTTCTTTTCTTTTCAGCAGACTTTACTCTACGTTTAACGTGGGGAGTCGTAGGAAGCACCGGTTTACTTGAAACACAACCTCCACAATCCTTTTCTGTAACAACAAGTATGTATTAAAAAATGCATTTATAAAAAAAATAAAATGGTATTAATTTATTAAAAATTGTCTATACCAGAAAATTTTACACTTCGTCGAGATTTTCGTCTATCACCGTTTTCATTGGAATTCATTTTCTCATCTTCAACAGTAACTTCAACATGATTCTTCCTTCTTGCTTTCATAGAAGTTTTGGTTTCATTGTATTCTGAGTCTTCTACGCCAACAAACATTTTCCTGGAAGATCTTCTATATCTGGGTGTGTCTACTGTAGTAATGATTCTATTTCTTAAAACTCTTACACTTTCATCGTGACTATTTGTTTCTTCTTTGTGATACATAGAAACCCGTTTAGGTGTCTTTTCATTGGATGTATTGGAATCTATATTCTCTGCAATTGCTTCATGTTGTGTTAATGTAACATCTAATATTAAATCTTCATCGTTTTTATCGATAGCATTTTGCCTAGTTAATTTTCTTTCCTGTGATGGTGTGTAGGGCATATCTAATTCTGAATATTTTGATGGAGTTGCAGTTTGTATTTTATCAGATGGTACTTTAGTTAGTTTCTTATATATGGAAACTGCTAATTCAGAATTTTGTTTGCTATCATCATCAGATTCTTCAAATGCTTCAGAACTATCGTCATCAAAATTAAGTTTTCTTTCTGCATGAATTACTGCTTCATCTGCGTTATCAAAATCAAAGCTATCTATTCTTTCCAACGCCGTAGTTAAATCTGATTTTAGTTTACATTGTTCATCAACTGGTAGTTCCTTTGAAACAACATGATCGTCAAAATTAACTTTACTTGATTTTACGGAAGGCTTTACTTCGCTCATATTTTTTGCTGCTTTCAAAATACCCTTTCCTGGTGTTTGATTGGAATTGATGTAAGATATTGTGTTATCCAATTGAACATCTGGTGTTTTACACATCTGACTGACTTTTATTACAGTTAATGGATTTTTAACGTTTTGTGATGTTATAGAGAATCGTGACTTTTCCAGTAGACTTAAACTCGTTTTCTTCTTGCTAACCGGTGCGAAGGACGTTCTTGTTTTATTTGAAATATCAGGATTATTTTCATTGTTTTCGAGCATATTATTTGAATACCGGTCCTTATTTTCTGTTTTCTGTGCAATATTCTTTTTCTTCTGTGCCAAAAAGACTCTTAATGAACTTTCTTTTGTAGGTAGAGGTTTCTTCTTTGTGACATTTTTCTTTTTAACAGACTTGGCCTTAGGAAAAGAAGTTTGTTCTTCAATCCAGTTCTTTGAACGAAGTTTCTCTAAACGTTCGAATCTTGCATCGCAATCTTTTACTTCGATGTACATCATGTCCCAGAAGCCTTGCAAATCTTTGCAGGTGACTAACATTTCTCCTTTTCCTGTTTCACAGTCAGCAACTAATTTGCGAAATCGTTGAAATTTTTTGTTCATCAACAAATTTGTTTGCCCAATGGCTTGATTAATTTCATACTGCCCATCTTCAGTGGTTGTGTCAACTTCTTTGATATCTGTCCACTTTTCACATAATTCATTTAATCTATCTGTTTCTCTATTTAAGAGAAACCTGAAGTATTGGGCAGTACGTTCTTCCTCTTCAGCTGAAATATTTAAAGTTTTCATAACAGTGTCCTTTGTGGGAATATCGTCGCCTTTTGAACGATTAAGACTAAATCCACGTTTTATCTGTTGCTCTTTTCTAGCATTGCTTTTCCCGCGACTAGAAATTACATATGGCGAAAAGAACAGTAAATCACTTGAAGAATCATTTGGTGTTGATGTATGCTTTAATGAAAATGTTTCTGCAACACTATTATTATGTGTACTATTATTTAGTTTTTCTACCTTGTTGGCATCATCGTTTTCATTAGAACAAGTAAACATGTCATCTAATGATAATTTTAATGATACAGGTTCTAATGAACTATCCATTGAACGGTCTGTTTCTTTTAGTCTGTTAATTTTTAGTGTATCGTCTTTTTTACCATTATTTATATCCTTAATAAATTCTGTTCTACTATTTTTACTATCCATTGTTATGGATGTAGACATGAATTCACTCTTGCTAGTAGATATATCTTGTGCAGTTACTTTACCAAATAATGATACACCACACATTCCTGCTAAAGCTTTAAATTTATAATTTGCAGGAGCAAAAGATTGTTTTTTTTCAATCTTTTGCTCTTTATTTATTGATAGTGGAGTTTTACTTAAATTAGTTACTGTTTTCTGTACAAGCATCTTATTCCTTAATCTTTTCTCTGTTGCTCTTGTAATTCGTTTTGGTGGAGATACAATTGGTTTTGTTGCAATTGGTTTTGCTGCAGTTTGTTTATGTATCTTTTGATGTGCCGTACTTGGTGCAACAATTTGGTCATTACATATTGGAGAATATATTTTATGACGAACCTTCCCAACTATAAAAGGTGGTCTTTTCTTCATTTGTTCAAGCCTGCGTTTCTCGTGTTGAGCTTTCCATCTCATTAACCTAGTGTCACGGACTTGGTTCACAGACGCTGTTTCCACTCCTAAAAGTAAATTATAGTTACATCATTTACGATAATGATATTGTAAATACCAATAAATGCTACGAACCCTTAATCCCTGGTTTATTAGTTATAGAAGTTGAAATATTTCTGTTTTTATTGAAAACCTTATCTCTTTGTTTTTTACGCAATTCTTCGTGTTTCTCAGTTCGAATAAATCGGCTTTCGTTTACATCTCCGAAGCCGCATTTCTTCTCTTTATACTTTTGTTGATGTGCTGACATTTTATTTAACACGCACAACCCTACCGTTACATTTAAATAAAATATTCCGTAAATACTAACTGGGACAATGAGTAACTCCTGTAACGGTAATGTTTTAACAACTGAAAAAATTTAAATTGACTGCACGATTCAATATATCAAATACCAGGGTCACCAATCGTAGAAATAAAAATAAATGAAGATTTTATTTCAGCGTCGAAAACTTTACCGACAGTCCCTAGAGAAATCCCTACGCGAGTTTTCAAATTACGTCCTCATTTCTAAACAGAATGTAAAAAAATTTGAGGGACGTGTTCAGGAGGTTCTAAAGAATATTTGTCTGGTCCTTATATTATCCAAATCGTCAAAAACTTATAAAATATTGAAATTGCTGTCTGTCAACGATCAAGAAAATGGCGGATCGGACTCACCTGCATTGATTTATTCGTAATATAAACATTTCTGTGAATCGTATGTCCAAATAGGGACCAGACTGATATTCTTTGAGTCGGATAGAATAAAACGAGCACGTCTCCAAGTAGAAGTAATTTGAAAATTACGATTTCGTTGATTGTTCACTCGCGAAAGACGTCAACAAGGTAAAACAGACCAGAAATTTAGTTTCTCGTTCATTCTGTAGGGCGCAGTTCGTTCGTTTGATTAATAAACAATTGTAAAATTAAAAATAATAATTAAATAATTTTTAATAGAATAATTAAACAAAATTTTGCAATATACCCACGCGGAAATGTAAAGAAATAAACAATTTAAATAGATAA